CACATGGGGTACCTTCAAGCTACTGAAGCCTGGCAATGGGCATCTTTGACAATCTCACTTTCCTGCTCCACGTTTCAAGATTAACATCACACTTTGGTGAGACTTTAGGCTGCTTGTTAATAAGTTTAAGTTGCTGAAATGCACTTAACACTTTGGTGAGTAAAGATAAGGTGGTCAGGAATATTTGGAGCAGGTTCATTCCCATCCCCTCCCAGTCATTATATCACCTAAATCAATTTTACCTTATGATTCAAGATCTCATTCATCCTCCTAGTAGCCTCTGTGGTGTGAGACTCTGGGAAGTATTTCTTGGGGACAACACCGTACTTTTCTAAAAGACATAAAACTACAGGTTAACAACTGGCTTTTCCACATAACAGATGCTCATACTTCTGCTTATACCCATGTAAAAGCTAAAGAGAGTTTGGATTTGTGCAGAGATAAGGGAAAGTCTTTTACTTAAAAGGTCACAAGTACTCCAAGTTTACATTTTAATTTGTGACTGAATCTTCACCTGTGAACCACATTCCACAGGGGTCCCAGAATGTGGAATCCCTGAACTGCTCAGTATCATTTAATTCAACACTTAAAAGTTCTAAACTAATTAGTGCTTTAAGAAGTTCTTTTCACCAGAAAAAAAACAAAACAAACAACCAACTTGATTACTTTAAAATTAATACCTTCTGAAATACCTCCTAAAGATTTGGCCTCCTATGAATCACTCCATGTAGTTTATCTACAATTAACCAACTAACTTCCTGGTCTCCTTTACTCCTCAATACTTATAAAATACCAGCAGCAGCTCATTTGTTTCCTACATTGTGGGACCAATAACAGGTCACACCATGCAAGGCTCTGGATGTAACTGCAGCAGCAAAAATCTTCTTTGCCCTGATTATTAATCACAAATGGGTGAGGAAAAAAGGAACCTCCAGGCTTCAAAGAAACAAATTCCTTTTGTGATTCTAAGTATCTGTTATTGGCTTGTTGATTTACCAAAGGTATCACATTGTTTCACAACACAAATGAAAGCAAGTGCTGGTGTAATTAAGTCTCTCCATCAGCGTAGGATCCCGTTTGTGCTGGATCTTTGTAAGACCAGCACTGCCACATTCCACATCAATTCCCTCTCACTGGTCTTTGTACCAACTTCAGGCTGCAACTCCAAGTAGTTTTGCTCCTGCCTGGTGGACACACCCAAGTGTAGCCACGTTTTTGCCTTACCTTGTGCCCTAAAAATTGTACACATGGATGTAAATAAATAATGTTGACGACTGGAGTAAAAAGGGATTGAACCTTTTTACTAAATGGGAAGTCTGGGATATCTGATTATTTCTGTTGATCTTCTGAGCTTTTATCATCAGCAGCAATATGCTAAAGCAATGCAAGACAATTTAAGCCCAGCATGAAAAAGGTCCTTGGTTAGAAAAGGTAGTGGTTAATGGCATCGTGTTCCTTGGCAAATTCCCAGGTCCCAAACTCAGTTTCTTCTTCTGTTCCATTCCCCATCTCAAACCAGTGTGCAATTTCAGGAAGGGCTCCTAATGATCAATTCTCTTACCAATAATGTTAACCAGCATATCCCACTGTCCTCCATCATTGGTGGGGTTGGAGAGCAGGAATTGGACCAGTCTTCCTTCCACTGGCTCCTTTTTCTGGGCTGTTTCCACAAAAGCATTTAAAAAGTAGTAACAACGTTCAACCTGAAACACACAGGGAAAAAAACCCTTTTAAGTCTGACATATTAATTAATTGCTAAATATTCAAGTTGTTTGGAAGTACAAAATAGATGAAGCTACTTCCTGCTCATCCACTGAAATCCTTATTTTCCCCCTCTAGCATTCCAGGGGCTACCTCTTTGTTACAGATCAAATATTCAGGAGGGAGTTAGCTCAGAGCTTGAGGGTAGGGGAACAGGAAATGTGAAGCAGAAGTTATGCAATGAAGCCTGGCCCAAACTAGCACTAGATTCGCTTCATTTCCCTTAGGGGGACGAGCAGACACACAGCAGGTGACAAGCATGAGTGACAATCACGTTTCCCCTGAGCTTCCAACAAGTAACTTATGAAATATCAAGTAACTCCTGAAGTATCAAGTAACACTTGAAAAAAAGACTTTTACTATTCCAAAACATCAACATGTTGACAACTTTCTTCTCAAGCTGAAAGTCACACTTTGCTCGACCTGCATTTAAAATGCATTTTTAAAGAACTTTTGAAGTTTCTTCCCATGTGTGTTTTCCAGATGTATTGTTAAAACAACCCAGCCTAAAAGAAGTCTTAGTGTCCCAACACTACCACCTGATTGCATAAGCCATCCTAGCACAACCTGCATGACTGTACCTTATCCCAGAAAAAGAGATAGGACTGGCTGAACTCAAACTCTTCAATGTTGTATTTCTTCATGAAAGGAAGACGCATTGCGTTGAGACAGGAAAAGATCCAGCATCTCCCTGAGAGATCAAAGGAACAAGGATTAAAGTGGAACGCCTGTACTCAAGAGCTGCACAACAATTTCTTTTACCACGAGATTCATGACATAGTTCTGCCTCCAGCCTTTGGCCAGGGCTGTACCACACCAAAAAGCTCTGAAGGACTTCTGAAATCTTCCACTGCGAGCACCGGTCTCAGTTACAGGAGGAAAGAGAGGGAAACGCTGCGAGCCTGAAGTCTGTTATTAACTCAGGAGATGCTGCAGGGATTCAACTTTGCTCTGGAGCCCGGACAAAGGGCTCCCAGAAGCACAGTCAGTGTTACCGGTCAATCCCCAAACACCACCCCGAGCCCGACCCCCTCTCACCGGAGTTCTTCTGGTTGGTGACGGGCTTGCCCTCAGCGGGCACGGCGTGCTGGAACACCTGCACGGTGTCCTGCACCACCTGGCGCTGCAGGCACACCTCCAGCGGGTCGTTGCATGTCGCCACGTTCTGGGCCAGCAGGAACTGCGGCTCGGCCCGCAGCCGCCGGCTGAAGGCGACGGCCTTCTCCGTGCTCAGCCCTGCCGAGGGGACACGGGGACACCGTCGCGGCCGGCCCCGCACCACCAACACCCCCCCGAGGAACCCCCTCCCTCACCGTCCCCCTCCCTGGGCCATCGCAGGGTCTCCCGGCCCCCCAATCCCCCACAGACAGGATCCCACTCACCCACAGCCCCGGTAACGCTTCCCCCTCCCTCTCCCACCACTCCTGCACGGGTAACCCCCCCCAGACCCACTGCTGAGAGCACGGCCAGTCTCCCACCCCACGGACTGGATCCCCCCCGCCCGTAGCCCCGCTAAGGGCCGGTAATCGTCCTTCCCCACCCCGAGGCAACGGTGAGTCTCCCCCTCATCATGGACGGGGGGCCCCGCGCGTAGCCCCGGTAACGGCTGCCCCCCCCCTCCGCCAACACCCCTCACCCCATTAACCGCCCCCGCCATGGCTGAGGTACCGCCGTGCACCCCCCCAGTGGTCGTGGCCCCTCCCGGACAGACCCCCCCGGCTCCCTTCCCCCGCTCACCGCGGGCGTTCATGGCGGCACCGGCGGCGCGCGCTCCCGGCACGGGCCCGAGGCGGAAGCGGCTCTTATAGCGCCGGCACCGGAAGCCGGAAGAGGGGCCTGGGGCCGCGGCCGGGGGCGGGGAGGGGGCGAACGGGGATGGGAGGGGGAACGGAGCGCGGTGAGGGACACGATTGGTTTGGGGGTGCCGCTCCTGCCTCTCATAGTGACCCCTGTTACCGACCCTTCACAGCGACCCCTCACACTGACCCTCACTCTGACCCTTCGTAGCGGCCCCTCACACAGAGCCCTCACAGCGACCCCCCACAGAGACCCTCACACAGATCCTTCACATCTGCCCCTCACATTGACCCCTCACACCGACCCCCACAGCGACCCCTCAGACCAACCCTCACACCAGCCCCTCACACCGACCTCTCACACTGACCCTCACACCGACCCCTCACACCGACCCCTCACACAGACCCTCACACAGACCCCTCACACTGACCCCTCATCCCCGCCCGAGGAGCAGCAGTGCCAGGGGCTGTGTGTGGCTTCAGGCAGCCACATTCCCTCAGGGCCGGTGTCACCCTGGGCAAGGGACACCCAACTGGAACATCCTCATCCCACTGTTCCCAGCTCCACCCCTGCAAAGTCATCCTGAACTCTGCTGGGTTTGGCACAACGGCAGTGTTGACACCAGGCACTCAGGAGCATGAGGTGGCACCGACATGGTCCTCCCTGAGCCCTGGGGAACGTCAGTCAAGGACACGCTCTGGATCACGCTCCGGATCAGGCTGCGGAGTCTCCCTGATGAGTAACAGCCCTGCTCCTCCGAGAAGAGTGTTGGCGCACTGCAGTCTCAAATTGATTTACAGCACACTGTGTTTACTTGCAGTATTAGTAATGTACCATCCAAGGCATGATGAGGCCTCAACAGCTTGCCAGGACCTTGAGAAAAGTGCCTGAGTGGCACATTTGTTGGGAGAAGGGGTGGATGGAGAGGTTTTCCTGCCATTGTAGTGCTGGAGCAACCACACTGGAACTTCACTGTGTGCTATCATGTGTTTGGGGCTGCCCCGAGCCCTGGGGTCCGGTCTCAGCCATGGAGACGGGAGGTGCAGTGGCAGTGCTGAAGTGCCGGGCAGATTTCACCCTCACAACAGGAGCTGAGATGCCCAAAGGATCACTCGGAAGGGGCAGGAAGTTGGGTGGCCACCACCCCAGCACCCTGTGGAATGGCACTGCAGGACAGAAAGCAGCTGCCAGCTCAGCACCTCACTTCATTTGTGTGCATCAGCATCACAATCCGTGGCAATCCAGTGCAGATTCCTCTGTGGACTGATCCACAACCCGCATGCCTGACTGCACGTGCATTCCTTGTCGGAATAAGCATGGAGGGGAAGAAATGGCATCATCTCAGGCAGCCTCCCCTCCACAGCAATGCTCTAAGCAGCAGGTTAGAATCAACAGGTGCAAAGAACTAGTCATATTTTGAAAAAAACACCATATAAAGTTGACCCTGAAAAACTTGTTTCAGTGCTTTATCTCATCATCTCACGCAAGGCCTTAGTTCCACCCCTAGAAATGATGTTTTCTGGGTGTGCACAGGAACTTTGTGTTCTTCACCTGCAGCAAAACGAACAGAAGAAATGAAAAATCACCTACAGGGAAAAACTTCATAAGTGAGTTAAATTCACCTGGGCTGAGTTCAGCTTCAGAAAGCACCATTAACTTTTATCCCCCGTGCCTCCATACATAGCCAGGGTACTGGGATGGCCAGAGCAAGGGCAGGAGCCTGGGGCAGGATCTGTGTGAGTCCTGCCATACTCCCAGGGACCACTCTCCACTGGGAGAGAAGGTGTGGGTCATGCTGAGTGCTCTTTTCCAGGTTCTGGCAATTTTAAAGAAGGAAGTTAATTTGGAATAAGCACAAATGAGCAGTCAAATACTTACAGAGCTGTTTCGCTTGATTTCTTGAAGCACTGAAAAGAAAGAAACAGTCTTATCTTTCACATTTCCTGACCAAAGGGATATTGTTACAAATATCTTGCAAGTATGTGATGCCTTCTTTAAAATATCTAATATTTGATTTATCTACTGGTAATTCTAATGCAGGAGGAAGTATGTAGCAGTTCTCTTACAGTGAAAAGCAACACTATGAAGTAGAATAGAAAAGGCAGAAAAAAATCAGGGCATTGCAACAAACTATTTTTTCCCTATGAAACTAGAGCTTTCCTTACCTTACATAATTTATCTCTTCGAGCCACAATTCCAAAAAATACCACGAGTGCAACCACCACGACTCCAGTAATAACAGCCTCTTTGGGAAAAACAGCTTTTTTGTCTGTCAGGAAAGAGGAGGTTGGATATGTGATAGATTAGTGAAGTCATATAACCCAGAACATTTCACAGGACTGCAGGAAGACCTATTTCTTTTCCCACAGCTGTCACTGTTGCTCTCTCTGCTGTTTGCAGGCTGACTGTGTGCAAAGTGAAGAAGAATTGAAACATCAGCTCCAGAAGAAGAGTCTGTCCCCCAGGCACTGTTACGCTCAGGAATAATATGACACAGGTAACATTGCTTTTTATCTTGTGCCGGGAGTATAGAAATGAAAGGGGCCTGGACAGAGGGTGGGAAATAGATGCCTGTGGGTCACCTGTCTGAGACCTGAGCACCCAGCCCAATTTCTGGAGCACAACTTGTCTTAAGAACCTTAAGCAGCTCTTTGGGCTTGCCAGAATACTGTGGCCAGAGTAAGACACTTCAAGTAAGACCTGAGCTGCTCCGAACCACGCTCGAGTGTGCCCTGTCAGCGTGGGAGGTGCGACAGTGGGATGAGCCTGCCCTGGGTCACACTTGCCAAACACCTCTGAATAACAGGTAGAGCAGGACAAGCCCTTCCTGGTGCTGTGGTCCCAGGCACAGGAGCAGGAGAGCTCCTTGTGTTGCTGTGCCCTCAGAAGTTAACACTGGGAATTTTCCACATTCCACTTACATGTCTTAATATAAATGGATTGCTGTCATCATAAAAGAGAATGGAGAATTAATTGTAAAGCTTATTGTCTAACAGCAGCCTTGTTACCTTCAATTATCAGGTGGAAATCCCTTGTCCCCTTTCCCAAGGAAGATTCCACCACACAGGTGTAGGTCCCACTGTCAGACTTCTGTACTTTTGTGATAGAGAGCTGAAAGACCTCACTCGTCTGGCGGACCACGTGACGACCCTGCTGTAGGGCCAAGTTGTTGTTGTCCTTATACCAAGTTGTTTGGGCTTGAGGGTTGGATTTGGAGTTGCAGGTCAGAGTAACATCTTTCTCTTCCTCAATTTGGAGGGTCTCTTCTCCGCTCAGCTGGGGAGGAACTGTTCACAGCAATGCAGTTCAATGGGCCATTAATAATGCTGCTCGTAGAATCACAGAAATCACCATTTAGGTTGGAAAAGCCCTCTAAGATCGAGTCCAGCTGTTAACTCAGCACTGCCAAGGCCACCCCTAAACCATGTCCTCAGGTGTCATATCTACAGATCTTTTAAATCCCTCCACGGATGGTGATTCCACCACTGCAGTGGGCAGTTCCATTGATTGATAACCCCTTCAAGTGAAGAAATTTCCCCTAATATCCAGTCTAAACCTACCCTGGTGCAACTTGGGGCCATTTCCTCTCGTAACTTGTTACCTGGAAAAAGAGACTGACCCCACCTTGCTCCAATTTCAGGTACTTGTAGAATGGCCACCATTAAACATAAGTTCCCTTCACACATCCCTTGTACTCCTTGTTCAGTGGTCTAACACATCACAGTTGCACAGCCTTTCCTGATCCCAGGAATCAGCAGGGAAATCAGTGGCAGAGACTGTCACTCCTGTATCTCCTGTGCCCTGGCTTGTATTCCTGGGAAAGAATCTAGGTGGAGTCAGGGACATATCCAGGACCTCTTTCTTAAGGGCCCACCCACTCCCTATAAAAGAGGCCTTGGATCAGGCCATAAGCACCTCTGTGGAAAGGGAGTGTCTTACAATGTGAGTTATCTCCTCCTAAACACATTTTTTCTTGGTGAAGACAGCACACAAGGGTGTATAACACCGCCCAGACACCGCACTGCTCAGCCCAGGGCTCCATCCCACCCCGGCCATTCCACACAGAAATCCACCCTGGCGACTCACACTCGACATCCAGGATCACAGACACCTGCACGGACTTGTCCCGCGCCAGCCTGCACGTGAAGGTGACTCCGTTGTCAGACTCGTTGACTGGGTGTATGCAGATGTGGCTGATGTTCACTTTATTCCCATCTTTCAGACTCACTTGCCCATCTCCCCGGTACCAGAGCAGGTTCTCAGCCTGGCTGCTGTTGTGGACGAGGCAGGAGAGGGAGACTGAACTGCCAGGCGTTGTAGACAGGGGGAAGTCGGCAGCGTGGTTATTTATGGACAGCTCCAAACCTGCAGAAGGAGGAGGACAAGGACAGTAAGCTTCCTAAGCCATACCCTTGCCACAAAAGCTGCCCTGCTCACTTGTCCATGCCTCAGCCTTGGAGGAGGGACTGAGACTTTCAGTCTTCAGCATAACAGCTGTTTTCAGGTGGGGTGTTAGTTTTTGAGACAAGAAGTCTTCATCACAAAGCTCCCTTTACAGTTATTCAAAACAAAGGCTTTCGCAGCTGACTAACAGAACACCAAGCCTGACCTGTGACAACAAAATGTCTCAAAACCAGCAGTGACCATGTAACACACAGCAAAAGATCATCCCCATCCTGCTGGTCTTGCTCACCCTCCTGCCACCAATCACTGTTGCAGTCCCACTGTGCCCTCGGGTTTTCTGCTCACTGTTTGATACTCTGTTTTTCAGCTGGAGTTGGATGCCCTTGGAAGTATAAATTAGTTAATCAGCCCCTCAGCTGTATCCTGGACAGGCTGAGTCTGGCAGTTGCAGAGTTGTACAAACCTCAGGACATACTAAATGAAATAAGTATGGAAAGTAACTTTTTGTAATGGGCTGAAACTCACTACTGTAGCCTCGGTCATGGATTAATGAACTATAAATACAGCTCAGAATATAAAGTATTGTGAACATAAAGAATTCTGAAGCTCCCTATCTCTTCCCAGGTGGCCAAAGCTGTCATCACTTCTCACTGCTTAGAGTAGGTTTGGAAACTGTGCCCTCATCAGTCCTGTGCAGCTGGCATAATACTGTTAGAAAATGCTGAAGCTCCCCCATTCCCTTCTCTGCTACTCTCAAAATCACAGGCTGGTTTTCAGACAGTCCTCTGGGCATGACCTCCAGAACACCCCAAAACTGGGATGCTGCTGTGGCACATCACCCAGCCCTGGGCAGTTTCGACTGTCAGCATGATGAGGCTTGGACAAAGCCACCAGAGATTTTTTCTGTTGCTTACCTGTGGCTACACATGCCAGGAAGGAAATGGCAAGGACGGGCGCTCCGTAGGGAATGGTGAGGCCGTGTCTCTGTGCCATCTCAGCTGCTGTCTGTGGAGAGAGGGTCACAGCACTGCTGGGGCTCGCAGGGGTTAATCCCTGCTGCCATCAGACACCCTGGGGAGAGTCCTCACAGCAGGGACGGGGTCACCAGGGAACAAACTGAGCCGATTGTTGCAGGGCATTTTCCAGTTAAGAGCAGATTCCAGGGGGTTGGATATCTCTAATCTCCATTACATGAGTTTGTTGTCCCTAATCATCTGCCAGGGGAACCCATCTCTGGGCCGTGTAGCACCAGACTTACCTTGGGATGAGTCTCTGGAGAGGCTGATTCTGCTGAGAAATGCACAGCTCCTTCCCCTCCTTATTTATAGGGTCTGAATTTCAATATTTTATGGTAGTTCAGTAAGAAGCAAACCCATAAAATGGGTTCAAGGCCTCGTTCTATTCCTGGATTTCTGAGCTCCCAGAACACTGAGGAAAAGCACTTGCTGGGCTCCACTGGCTGTTTTATGAGACTTGCCAAGGCAATGAATAACTAACAAGAGAGTTCCTGCATCAGCCATAAAGACTTCCAGCCAAAAATAATACCTTTACCTCTCAGCTTTCTGAGTGTTCACAACACTGTTTCAAGCCATAGGAAGTTTATCCTAGTTATCCTAGAGCAGGAGTAGACTCCAATTTGCTGCTTTCTGCCCAAAGTGCTGTCACCATGTCCTTCTTTGAGTGGAAAATAAGAAAATGCACAGATTCAGACTTTGAGCTGTGTGTTGGCAGAGGGGAGGTCAGGGACACTGTCCTGCTCACCAGTGTGTGCCCCCAGGCTGCTCTTGTGCTTAGCTCAGCCCTGGTCCCCCCCCAGCATGGAGTGAGGGGTCTGTCCCAGCTGTCCCTGCTGCTGGGACAGCTGTGCATGGGCTGTGCATGCCCAGGGGACAACTGAAGCACTTGGCTAAGTGGAAAACTGTCTGAACACGCTGCGTACACCTCAGCAGGATGACGGTGACGTGGTTGCAAAGCACAGGAACCTTGCAATCCCTGGAATGTGTTCTCACTGCTCTCAGTGTCCCTGCAGGCACAGGGCACATCACTCATCAGCAATGGGCTCATCAGAGCCATAAAGTGCATTTCATGAGCAGGAGGAGCCTGGGACATGTCCTTGGTGTTTTCTTCGTAGCACGGAGGTGGGCAGGGAGGGCTCCTGCTCCAGGGCTGTCTGTACACACAGCACAGGACCACACAGCACTAGTCATTTGTGGGGATGTTGCAAACAAGGGTCACTTCTGAGTGTTTCTTAATATATCTCTTTCTGTTTATTGGTTTACCCTTAAAACTAACAGGGAATAATTTTCAGTTAAAAAGTAAATGTGTACAAAAGTCCCTTAAAGAGACAGTTCTCAGTCTGCCTTTCAGAAAACTTAAAAATGAGTGTCCAGCCTTTAGTGTACTTTTTACCCTCATACTCAGTTTAAGAAATAAATTTAGCTTCTCCCAACATTTTTAGAAAGTTATATGTCCTGTGCTTACAGTATTCAACTAACTGTAAAATGTTGAGTTATGGTTCAGTACAAACTTCAATCCAAATGCTCTTCTAAGAGTGAAGTGATCTTTGTGGTTTGGAATTAAGCTGAGTTGCAATAGGGAGGGATGCAAAGGAAGGGGCTGGGAAATGGCTCGTGCCAAAGGCAGGAGAGTGTGGGGAGCTCTGCGATCCCTCTGATTACTGCATTGCAGTGGTACTCTGGGAGAAGGATGTGATTAGAGTAGGTGAGGATGTAAAGAAGGAAAGCATAGAGTTTGGGGGCACATTTTGAGTCTAAAAATGAAAGCAAGGGAAAAGGTTGCCAGCTGTTCTGTGGGGGGTTGTCCCGACATTGGGCACAGCATCAAGGACCTGGGTAAAATTCTGTCCCAGCAGGTCCATGACACAGGCAGTGAGGTGAGCTCAGGTTCATCTGGTGCAATGGCAGTGTCCTCTTTTGCAATGGGCTTTGAGATCTGCTGAAGGAAGAGGGACTAGAAAATCCAGGTGTTTCTGGCCCAAGGCACCAAAAGGCAGCTTTTTGGAACTGGTAAAAATTGCTTTCGCAATGACTTTTTACACTTTTCTTTTTATACAGGGTGTAATTAACTTGTGGGTGTCTAATTACTGAGGTCTAGAGTTTTGTGGGTTGCATTCTCCACCTTTCCATTACGTTTTGGAGGGACGTAAACCTCGCGTTCCAGAATGGAAAGCAGCCAGTAATGACTTGGACTGGAGGAACCTCCTCAGTGAGGCAGATACTCTGTAACTCTTCACGGCAAAGGATCCAACCCTCACGTTTGAGGCACTTGGATCAGGCACTGCCAAGGCTGGATTAGACAGACCATGGGCTAGAGCCAGAGTAATCCACCACACCAGCTCCTGCTTGTCATCCTTATGGCAACGCTGGACCAACAAACCCAGAATAAGACTGGTGTCAAATATGACTCTGAGCAGCCTCAAAGGGAATTAATTAATAAGCACCAGTCTATTCCTGGGTGTAATCCAAGCCTTAGAAACCTGAGATGAGAAGATTTAGAACATGATAGAGATTGGGCAGAAATTTCTTTTCCACTGGGTGGAACCTCTTAACCTCTGATTTCAAACTTCCCAGCAGTTTCTCCCAGCACAGATCTCCTCAGTGCCTTCAGGGGCACAACTCTTACTCCCCCGCAGTCTCACTGGCAGATGAGAGCCCAACTTATATCCAGCAGAGTTGTGAGGGCTGATGGTTGCTCTTGGAGTCAGGGGCATGGCAGGATCTGCACAGATGTGTGGGAGCCCGAGATCGTATCCATGGGTTGGTTTGTCAAGCAAACAATGCCTGTAACACGGCTGTAATCCCGCTCCAGAAAACATGTTTCTGCAACAGTGCCTGAGGCTTGCTCCAAGGCTGCTCCTGTCTTCCTACTCCTTGCGGTTCCCCACTCCTAATCCCTTCTTAATACGTGGTGCTACATATTTTGCAACATTTCCATTGTTGGAGGATGACTGTAACACCCAAATCCACTGCCTCCGCTCGCCAGATATCAGGGGTGGAAAGCAAGGCTGTCAGGGAACGCTGCTTGAACTTACTCAGCACTCCTGTTCCCTCCCACAAAGCCTATTTTTCCCAAGTATAAAGATTATGGAGCTGTGATGTGCCCTGATTTCCCAGACTCCCAGCCTATACCCCACATTTTTCCCACTGCTGAGAAGGACTGATCTCAAGTATTTTTTTCATGATTTTGTTAATCATTCTGTTTTCTGATGGTCCTTACATAAAGGTCACATGCTGTGCCCCTGAATGCAGAGGGATGATAAGTGAATTTCATTCTTGGGAAGGAATAAGAATAGCAAAAGAAGCACCAAACCAGTGAATATGGTGTAATTTTAAAATAAATTGCTTAGAGGGCATTAAACATTCAAATGAAAAATAGGCATTAATTAATTAAGAAACAGATCCTGGGATAAATACAGTGGAAGAGAAGCCTTCAGGAAGGTGAGGCTCCAGCACAAGTGTTGGATGTGAATGCCACCTGCTGGGTACCCACCCACGAGAGCTGGCAGGGCGCAAAGTCACCTGGGAGAGCTGGAAACTGGAGGAGATCCCTGTGAACACCTTGGCACAAGCTCAGAGACAGTAAACCCTGCAGAAGGCTAAAGCCACGCTCATGGGCAGGTCTGCTCAAACCCCTGGGCTCAGAGGAGGAGAAGGCATCTCTGAGATGGTAATTCCACTGGTGGTTTTCATCTGTGCTGTAGGAAGTGCCCTGTGGAGTCTGTGCTCCTTCTGATGCAATAAGGAAGCTTATCCTGGGCTTTTACTGATATATATATATATATTGCTGTACTCATGTACTTCTTCCAGAAGTGTGAGTAAATTAGGGTTGGAGAACTTCAGTCATCATATCAAACAACTGCTCCTGGATAGTTTAAACTCTCCCTTTCTGAAGTGAGTGCAAGGAATGGAACCACATTCCAGGAGGGCAAGTCCAACCTTGAATCAGGAGCATCAAGGCACTTGCCAATGTTTCCTGTGCTGAGAAGAAAGCACTGCAGTAGGCACAGCTTCTCTTACCTGCAGTCAGCACCGGTCCCCCTCTTTCCCACCTGCTCTGGGTCCCATCCAGCACTGGTGGGTTCTGGAGTCACCAATCATGACTAAAGACAGCGCATTAGTGTGGCTGCTGCTGTCCTACCCCGACACATGGGAAATGTGAAAGAAGCTTGGCATCAAATTAGCAATATAGGTCCCCTGCAGGAGATAAAAGTGACTTGTCTGTATGAAATTCCACCTAAATGTTGGCCCTTGTAGTTTCCCACCTCGGGAGCCCTGGTTGGCAGCCTGGAGCTCTCATACCTGGCAGCACTCAGGGAAATCACTGCTGTTATTCTTTGTTTCATGTCACCCACTCATGAAACTCCATTTTCTACCTGACTGACCCAATTTTCCAGGTGGGATCCTGCCTCAGCCAGGGGTCAGGGTGTGTCGTAGCTGTGATTACCTGCCAGGTTCCCATGACTTTGTTAGTCTTATGGACAGAAAACACACCTCTGGAACGGGTGGGCTGGACTTCAAGGGTTTCCTCTGGGAAACAAAAATTACTAGGTAGGATGCTAAACTTAGTTCCTGTTTCATGCTGGTGGTCAGTACAGGACATTCCTTAGCAGTATTCCCAGATCCGCTTCTCTTTAAGACTGTATTCCACTGTGGCTGCTGAGCAGCCCAGATCTCAGATATTTTTGTCTACCTAGGAACTTTCATCACCAGTGGGATTTCTTGGAAGTGCTCTGCTGGAAAACCAAGTGCTGATTTGATCTTGTGAAGTGCTGCCAGACAATATTAGCAGTTTTAACTTCCCCGCTGTGGCGTCACCCTTCATTCCCTCTGCGAGGAATCTGCAAAGACTGAGCTGCTCCATCTTTCCAGTTCATGGGAAACCATTTGCAGCCAACCTTCAGGATGAAACCACATTCCTGTTCCAAGGTTGCAATCACTGCAGAGTGTCATGAGGCAAAAGCCACAGCTCCTGAGTAACCACCTTGTCGAGTGCCAGGGCTGAAGCTCACGGCAAGAGATGAGGAGGAGGAGGAAGAGGAAAAGGAGGAAGAAGAGCAGGAGGAGGTGACTTCTTTGCAGGTCGGTCCCTAACCTGAGGATTTTCTCACTCAGGGATGTGGAAGGCAGAGCTCTCCAAGGAAATGTGAAGGATTTATTGTTACTGGCTGCTGAGCAAATGAGCGGGTGACTCATCAGCCTTTGCCACATGCTGCTTTTACAATTGGTCTGTTGGAGTTCCAGACAATGGGGCTTTTATCAGCTAAAAAGGGAAATGAGCTCAGTTACTCTGGGTAAATCCTGAGCAATTTGTTTGTAGACTGAGGACTTAAAGCTGTGTGATGGTGATCACTTCTGAGACAGTCAAATTGCCTCTTGATGTTCCTTCCTCCCGTTGGCTTAAGAACATACTGATGACCAAGGTCTTTTGTCTTTTCCAGTTTAATTAGATCTGGGGCATTTTTTTGATGGATAGTCCCTGTTCCCTGCTTGTCCCTCTCCTAATGATTGAGCAGTGCAGATGAGCCCCAAGAAAGAAAAGCCAATTTACTCTCCCTTTCCTCAGGGCCCTTTTGATGCTCACACAGGAGTTTGCATCATCTGATCTCTTGTGCAAAGGATCCCAGAATGCCGTGAGGTGAAGGAGTCACAGCACTGATGGTTCCCCTGAACATCAGTTTTATGTGCTGGACTTGCAGCTTGTGCCTCCAACAGGAAATGCCAGAGCTGGGAAGCAGATGTGTTCATGAGATACTACTGAAAAGTTAAACAGGAATGGACGGAATCTGCTGTTGGAGATGGACATTTTCAATTTTTTATGGACTGTGAGGTGATTTTTGCAGAGTAAGGTGTCCTGCTTTTAGTCATCTCACCTGCCTCCCAAAGGGAATTAGAAGAAGGAAACCCAAAAGTAAAATGTGTATCTCTTCTGAGGCTCACAGTTCTGCAGTTGCTCGCAGCACAGCAACACAACATAGAAACATCATGTTAAAATGTGTTTAATCCCCAGAGGTTTGATCTGAGCAGGTAGCGTGGCCAGGGCTGGTCACATGCACTTCCCGCCAGGAAGACGGAGGTCCCAGGAGCTGCACTTTGTGCCCTCTGACCTGCAGCCTGTCACCGTGCCCAGGCAAAGGCCACCCCATCCTTCCACTCCAGGCTCTGGTTTATGTCCAGGCTTTATCCTCCGGAGGAGAGGCTGCTGGGGCGGCCTGTCGTGACCCCTCCGAGGGGGTCAGGGTGCTGCTGTTTGTCCCCCTGGGCGCAACAACTCGCTCTTGGATTATTATCCATCTCAGCCGCACCGTGCAGCGGCTCCGCTTAGGCTTACGGGAGGGCAAATAGCGAGCGCGGAAAGCCAAGGATGGGGGACGGAAACACCTCTCCAGGGAGCGCGACTGAGCTCCGCTCCCGCTCCCACTCCCGCTCCAGCCCCAGTTCAGCCCCGCAGCGGGCCCGGGCCCAGGGGCAGCGACACGGCCGCCAGGGGGCGCCGCAGGGTTCGATGCCACCCACCCCCTGCAGTGACGCGACGCTCCCGCCGCCCCTCATTGGTCCCCCACCGCCTCTCCCGGGCGGCTCCTCCCCCTCCCCCACCGCTGATTGGCGGGCGCGGCGGCAGGTCCCGCCCCCCGGCTGGCTCCGCCCCCCCGGCGGGTCCCGGAGCGGCGCGGCGGGACCGGGGCGCGCGCGGGGCCATGGCCGCGGGGAGCGCGGCGCGGGGGCCCGGCCGGGCGATGCCGCGGCTGCTGCCGCTCCTCTGCGCGCTGCTACCGCTGCTGCTGCCTCTGCCGAGCCCGGCCCGCGCCCGCCACATCAAGAAAGCGGAGGCGGCGGCGGCGGAGCCCGGCGAGGCGCTGCGCTACCTGCACTCGGCCGAGCTGGGCGAGGCGCTGCGGGCTCTGGCGGACGCGGCCCCGCCGGGCCTGGCGCGGCTCTTCAGCATCGGGCAGTCGGTGGAGAAGCGGCCGCTGTGGGTGCTGCGGCTCACGGCCGGGCTGGGCCCCGAGCGGCCTGACGAGCCGGCCGGCGGAGCGGCTCTGCCCGGGCGGCCGCAGGTGAAGCTGGTGGGGAACATGCACGGAGACGAGCCGCTGGCACGGCCGCTGCTGCTGCGCCTGGCGCGGGAGCTGGTGCGGGGCTGGGCCAGCGGCGACGCGCGCATCGTCCGCCTGCTCAACACCACCGACCTGTACCTGCTGCCCAGCCTCAACCCCGACGGCTTCGAGCGCGCCCGCGAGGGCGACTGCGGCGGCGGCGGGGAGGGCGGGCGGGAGAACAGCCGCGGCCGCGACCTCAACCGCAGCTTTCCCGACCAGTTCGGCGCCGCCGAGCCCGACCTGGAGCCCGTGCCCGAGGTGCAAGCGCTCATCGACTGGATGCGCCGCAACAAGTGAGTGCAGCGCGGTCCCCCCCTCGCCCGGCGCCCCGCACCTCGGCAGCGCTTCCCCGGAGGTGTCAGCCGGTTTCCAGCCCTTCCCGGTGCTTCCCAGGAGGGCCTGAGGGGAAGGAAAAGCTCGTTCTCCACCTGTTTTTCCCCAGCCTGCCTCCCCGCGTGGGCCTTTCATCGTAGCCGGTACCATCCTGCGCTGGGCTGGCCCTGGGGGGAGCATTTGGTGGCCCCAGTTTCTGTGCACTTGCAAAGAAGCCGCACCAGCCCCGCAGGGCATAGCCTGTGCCCTGCACACGCCCAGGTGTTCCCGGCCTCCATGGCCTTCTGCGCGTGTCCCACCTCCCGGAGATTGTGGCTGGAAACTTCCCTCCCGCCTCGCCTTGAGCTTGTCGGTGTGTCGTGCTCTTGGGGCTGATAGTGCTTTCACCACGAACTGTGGGATGCTGGAAATATCCGGGGTTAAGTGAGCAGCTAGTCTGTGTGTGACCATGTTAACAGAATTGCACTGAACTGGGCTTTTTACCCCCATCTTTGTGTTTCATGGAAAATTCCCTGGATTTAGCAATAATGCTCTGTGCAGCAGCGTTTCCAAATACAGGCCCTACTCTCATAGTCCTCTTCCCCGTCTGTCCTGTGGAAGCACACAGGGCTCAGCTGTTAGGCTCTCCCCTTCCAAGGAGGGGAGCAATGGGAAGCTGCTGTGCTTGGAATGGGGCAGCCCAGGAGAGGAGATGGCACTTTTGAAGCCCAGCCCTGGTTTGAGGGTCTGGGGCAGCCCTGGAAAGCTCAGTGGCCGGGATGGGCACTGGCTTTTCATTTGCCCTGTGTTCTACTTTGGAGAACTGTGGAAGGTCCAAACCACAAAGGTCAGTGCAACCGACCGTGGGAAGTTGTGCAGAGAAAGCAGGAATGCAAAGTGTGATCAAATACAGGCAACACACTTAAACGAATTATGGCCCTCTTCCCAAAACAGGGATAGAGAGAGATGGAGAGGGGGTGGCTGATGGCCAGTGTGCTGTTGGTTGACTCCAACCAACAGACACAACGTTCAGCATTGTATAATATTTCCTCAGCTTTAGGAAACAAAATTTGCTTGAACTCTTATTAAATCTTGGTGGATTTATTAAGTATCTTTATTAAAACTTGATGGATGGCAGTGTCCATGGGGATGCTGCTCCAGAGAAATTTCATGAACTTCACCAGAATTGCTTGTCCAAAGGATCCTTTAGGAAAGCTCTGATGAAGCACTTTCCACTAAAATCTCCCCAGATTTGGTTCAACTCAAAATGAGTTGCTAGGGAAACTTGTGCATTCTTGATATCGTTTTGAAAACACCTTGAGCTTTTTATTTTATTTTTTCTGTGAGTATTTGAGGTGGGATTTGCTGTCAGCCAGGGTGAAACAGGAAAAACGCGGTGCTTTGTGCATCCCTCTGCCTGGCAGCACCAGTTAATAGTGGTGTGATTGTTAGACTAACATAACTGCTGATAGAAAAATGAATGGGTAAACAGAACTGTTTGATTAAAAACGGAGATAGTGGGTGTAATGCAATTCATGGGCACTATTTTAAGCAGAGTAAAAGTATCGGTCATGTTACCTTTGCTTGGAAACCAAATCCCATTTGAGTGAGTGCACGGGAGAGCTTTTTCCCTCAACGCTGTGTTTGGTGGGAAGAGGAAGAGCAGGGACAATTACCTTTGGTATTCATTGAAATGCTTGTGCTGCCTATGACCAAACTGAAGGGTGATACAGGGCCTGTGTTTTTTGAGTTGAGATTTTAACAGCTCTGTCTCACATCCAGATTTTATTTGAGTGAGTTGGTTCTGTTGTACCTACCAGGAGTTGCTCAGAGCTTGACGAAGAGCCGTGTACATCGGTTCATGTGCAGGGCACTGCTCGTCTGTCACAAAGTTTGAGGGCTGGGTCTTAGGCTGCAGCAAGGAACTCGTTCCCTCTCCAGTAATGCCAGATGTCAGTTTGGGGAGCCAATCAACCAGTCCTGAGAGTTGGTTATGGCAGAAAATCTGGAGATTTCCCCACTGTGCTCCCACTGGGACGCTGTTCAGACCCTCTGCTGATCCTGCTCACTGTGTTGGAGGCTGGGATACATCTCCCAGGATGGTGTGTCGTGTCCAACAGTAACTGACTGGGTGTTGAACAAGTGCCTGTCTGTTAACATAACCTTGGTGTAGCTGCAGCTCCACAGGTGTTCTCCCTGCACAGGGCTGGTGGAGCAGGGTCCGATCGCTTCCACTTCCAAAGTGCCCAACTTACTGCTGGGCACCTCATCCAATGAGTGCATTTTTGCCTCATTGATCTCAAACAGAGCTTGGAGGCTCCCAAGAGCCTGGTTTGGGTGGGAAAGCAGCAGAATAACTGGTTGGGTGGCTGTAGCCTGCTTCTTGTTGGAATTGTTCCAGTGTGATTCTCCTTCCCAACCACAGGTTTCTGCTCTCTGGCAATCTCCATGGTGGCTCCGTGGTGGCAAGCTATCCCTACGATGACTCTCCCACGCATAGGCCCACAGGAGTCTACAGTAAATCAGCTGATGATGAAGTCTTCAAATATTTGGCAAAAGCTTATGCATCTCATCACCCCATAATGAGAACTGGCAAACCCAATTGCCCTGGCGAGGAGGGAGAGACCTTCCAGGATGGGATCACGAACGGTGCCCAGTGGTACGACGTGGAAGGTAAGCTGTGCTGGCCCTGCTGGCTCACCTGGCACAGGATCTTCTAGAAGTAGTTTCTGAGAACTGACACCCAGACCAGTGGTGATTACCACAGAGGAAGGGACGGTGGGTGAAGTGATATTTTTAGCTTTGAATGCGTTCTAGCAGCTTGAGGTGAAGAGAGGTGGCATCATGGGCACACCAATAGGCACCTAATGAGTCATGGCTTGGGAGGTGTTTTTAGGGAAGAGATCACAGCAAACTGGAGGATTCTTCCTGACCCTGTTAGGTAGTGGAGAGTTGTCCTGCATATGGGAGGCTTCATTTGCCAAATGAATTCTCCTTAGGTCTCTCGATGGTTACTAAGTTTTGATACAGGAAAGAAGAAATTATTTTTAATGGTATTAAACCAATGCCAGTGTCCTGTGAGGTTTTTTAATCTCTGAACTTGTGATTTTATGATTATAGAATAGCCTGCTGTAAGGCTATGTAAAATTTAGATAGATGATCTGAGCTAACCAAGGTGCTCTCCCTGGAAGTGGGGTTGGCAGGTTTTCCATGGACTGCTCTGCTCGTAGACCTGTGTGGAGGGTGACAGCCTGCATGACCTGTTCTCATCCACTGTATGGGGGATCTAGAAGGGATCTGAAATTCTCTGCTGGAGCCTCTAGGAGAGCTCCTAATCCCTCCCTTAGGGAATCTGAATCACTGGGAAGTGATCTGAATAGGAGAAAGTGACCTCCTGGTGCCACCATTCTGTCTGGGTGGAGGCGGCTGGGCTGGCTCAGCCACTACAGTGGGCTGCTGTGTGTGTGTGTTGGTTTTGTTGAAAATGGAATTTAAATAATAGTTTATGTCATGAGAGGCTCTCGTGGAAGAGGCTCTGTGGGCTGGGGAGGAAGAGAAATCTTGGCTGTGTCATTAGAAGCAGTTACCCCATTGCTGTGCCCCCTCGGCGGATGTTGTACATCAGCCTCACCAGACAGGGCAGGAACTTCTGTGGTGAGGAAACAACAGAAACCTTGCAGAAAGGATCCCAAGAAGTTGTGTTGCTTTGCTGGACTCTGACTGCTCTGCTTTTCCTCATACTGGGGCTGAGGGATGATGGCAGGAGTGCTGAGGAAGCAGTGACATCCAGTGCTGTTTATCCCTCAGAGCTTACAGCTTAACAATTTCTAATAAGACTGTCTTTCTGAAACATGGGCTTTGGAGCAGAATCCTGTGCTAACCCTGCATCCAGCTTGCTTGGGAAGGAGGGAGAGGGATCCATTACTGGGCCTGAACACATCAGCTCCATGCGGGAAGAGGAAGTCTTGATTTTTAGCAGTGGCTGAATCATTCCCCAGGATTTCACTGACCAAATAAGATGTTGTGTTCAAATAAGATGCAGTTTGATCTCTTTCCCTACCACCTGTCTCCTTCCCTCCACCCTGCTGAGCACACCAGCCCTGGTGTTTGCTGGCACAAGGTTCACTCTGCTGCTGTGAGAAGTCCAGCAGGAGGAAGGTTTGTGTAATCTGGTGACTTGGCTTAGGAGGGAACAGGATATCCTGGACGATCTGTGCTGCGTGTTCTGGTGGCTTTTGTTACCAGCAGACACCTCGGGCGGGAGGTTTGTTAACTGCAGCTCTGAGCTTTTCTGCCCTTGTGATGAGGTGGGATGGGTGGGCTCTGAAGGGAAAGTGATTCCAGAGCTTTGGACTTACGATCCTCTGCTCCCAGAGCGCGGTATTTTTTGCTGCAGGGTTGATTTCATCCTCCAGCTTCGTTGTGAGGCAGCTGGTTAGAGGCTGTGGCATTAGTGGCTGGTGTGTGAGCCTTTCAGGCTGCCTTTGCCCTGCCAGCGATCAGAGGTTTCACCTACTTTCGTTTCACAAGAAATGGGAAGGTGTGAACTGCAGACCAGTTTGCTCTGTGCTGCCATCACTGTGGTTTATTTTGTGTCCAATAGCCTCTAGCATCTGCAGAAATAAACCCTTTCACTGTGACAAGTCACAGCCTCAGGCTCAGTGTTGGCGGCTGTGGGCAACTCACGGGCTGAGATTGCACTGACACGAACTGAGTGGAACATTGCTGAGGCTGCAGACGGGATCCACTGGGCATCTGTATGGTCTCTCCCTAAGCAGTAATTTACATCACACTGTTGTTAAAGATGCCCCTGTGGAGGGTGCCAGCAGCCCTTGGAGCAGCTCCCCAGCCAAGGAGTTCATGTAAAGTGTAACCCGGGGGAGAGCGTGGATGAACTGACTGATACCACAGTGTAATTTGATGTTGTGTGAATTTATCGTGTCCCTTTGGGGTTGTAGGTTTTAACGTTTATTTTTAGTAGTGGATGAAGAGCAGGCAAAGGGGAGTCAGTTGTAAGTGGTGTGACAGAAGGAGCAAAACCACCAGAGGGGCTGTTTTGAGCCATCTGAATTGCTCAGCTCTGTGCCAAGGACTGTGGAGGCTTGTACTTGAACCAGGACACCTTTCCCAGTGATTCCAGAATTTAAATGTGCAATGAAATGAGGATGGGGAAATCCCAATCCCCTGCAGGAGCTTCCTGGGCTGAGCTCTAGAGATGGATAACCAGAGTACATGGTTCAGTGAACAGTGCAGGGCATGTGCTCATGGCCTCCAGACCAGGTTGTGCCAGGAGAGACTCCTGCAGGCTCCAAGTGAACTAAAGCCAGGAAAAACAAAGAAATGAGAACATGGTGTTTCAACAGGTGGAAATTTTCCTGCCACATTTTATCGTGTGAAATCAAACATACTGGAGAGCAAACTGCCACGGGATTCATTGTCCTGGAGTTACCAGTTCAGGGCCATGCTGGTGCCAGTCCCCATTAACTTTGATTTGAGTTTGCAAACAACCTCTTATGTGTGTCAAATCGAGGTGACAAGTACAAACCACGGGAGTAATTGCTAAGGTCAAGTGTGCGCAGAGAAAGATGGGTCTCTGCCAAACAGCTGAATTTGGCTCCTGCATTCCAGCTGCTGTAGATAAGCATGTCTGTGACTGGGATGCTTCTTAGAGGCTATCTCTGGTGTGCATGCTCTTTCTCTTCCTTCCTTTTTAACCTTTAAGGGTTTTAACTACCAAGTGGCTGGTTCAGATCAAGTAAATGCATGCATTTACCCCCATGGACTAGGGTATAGAAAGCAGTTAAGAAACCTCTCTAGTCTGATCTGTGGGCAGGATGTGGTTTGCCTTTTTGTTGTTAAGAGCCCAGTTCAGAAACTGAACTCATCATGAAGTTCAGCAGTGTATTTTGTGGGCAGCCCTGGAAAGTTTGTTGTTATGTGCAGTCCCTTCCTAAAAGTTGTTTTCTTGCTAGTTGGGTTCTTTGATGCCCAAATGTTTGAGATGTTTCTGACCTCTGTTGGAAGGTACATCTCAGGTTGAAAGTGGATTTAGGTTACCTGAGTGCTGACTGGGTTGCTTTGTCTGTGGTTACCAGCCACACTGAGCTTCCAAACAGATTTTGGTGGCATCAAACTCAGAGCAGTTAAAATGAGTGCTGATAACACTCACTAAAAAGAGTGCTCATGGCAGTGCTGTGGTGGCCTCTGTTTCCATGGAGTGCCCAGAGTGAGCTCTGGTAGAAGCTCTCAGCCACGTCTTTCTGAGCTGTGCACAATTTGCTGCACTTCTGTGTTTGTGTTTTCATAAAATTCTTACTGAAATTCTTTTTCTTTTTGAGAAACACATTGGCTTGGTGTTTTGAGGGTCTGATGCCTCTTTTCATGTCTATCATGAACTGCTGGGCAATGCTATGCTGGTGCAGCTCTTGGGAATACTCTGCCCTTTTCTTTGAGAGAAGGCTGCAGGGTTTTGCTGCTCTGGGCTGTGATGCAGCTTCTTCAGTTGGAGGCTCAAACCTCACCTCCTCTGAGTTTTAATGATTGCAGACTAATAGACCAGAACATTCCTCTGCCTCTTTGGTGCTGCTCTTGGTGCTCCCCTGATCTCCTGCTGTGAGACAATTGGTTCTATCCACAGAGTCAGCAACTTATGCCACATATTGAATCACGTCTCCAGCTTGCTTGGTGCCATCTGCTCTCTCTGCAGAGCAGACATGGCCTATGTCTCTGCTTTAACTTAGCTGCGGGTCTCTTATCTCCTGATGTCAGCTCCAGTGAGAGCTGGAATTAGTTTTCTGCATGGTGCAGTTTGAAAATAGAGTCCTTCTTGGCTGGCCTGGAAGGCTTCTCCTGGCACGTGGAGTATTTATGGTATCTGGGTCCCGAGGCTTGACTCTGGAGAGCTGCATTCCCCTGATTTGAGCTTGGCAGGGAGCAGAGGCAGCCCTGCCTGTCAGTGTGAGCTCTGCAGTGCTTGTGCTGCAGGAGGTCTGGGATCCCTGCCTGAAGCACAGTTCTGATGCTCAGGGAGTGGGACAGAGCAGGAGAGAGGTTTGTTCTGAGCATATTTGTGACCTACTGCTAGCCAGGGACTGGCTTGCTGTGACGCTAAGCTGCTCATTTTCCCTTTCTTTCCTCACTGACAGCATGGGTATAGTGCTTCATGGGGAGGCTGGAACTTTTTGCAGTGTTAAAAAAACCCCAACTTTTTGCAGTGTCTTTGCTAAAAGACACCCTGTGATTAAAAGTGCTGAAATAAATCCATCAGGTTATCCCAGCTATTACTCAAGCAGAGGAGAAGCACTGTCCTCTAGTCTGACAGTTCTCTGCTTCAAGTGTGTTTTTTCTGCTCTACTCCTGCCTGAGCACAGGTCTCTCTTTACCCCTCCAGATCTCTGCAGAGCCAAGAGAGGTTGTGCAGATGGTATGTGGGGAAAATACGTAATTCCACATGCTGTAAAAATAACTGTCCTGCTCTGCAATAGAGCCATGTGAAGGCCAAATATGTGCAATGGATACAATCCAAATTTTCAAGAATGCAGTGCACTACTTTCTCCAAGAGACAGTTTTACCAAAATCGATGTAGCAAGCTCTAATTTAGTCCGTTGCTGCTCTATTATGGGTGAGTATCTGTCCTAAATTTGCTTGAATGGCAGATGAAGCACTAAATATGTTTCATAATGGCTCTGGTTTACGTATGGATGTTTTCAAATGCATTAGCATCCTGCTATGAGCAGATGGTTATGGGCTGGCAAATTGTTTCACTCGCGTGGTGTTTACTGGCGAGAGAGGAGCCTGCTGTGCTTTGCTGTTCTGAGCCTGGTAACGGGAGCTGAACAGAGCTGAGGGGGGATCAGATTCACAGGCCTTGTTTCTCTAACCCCTTGAACTGAGTTGGAGAGTTATAAAGCCCTCAGACACTTTCTGGCCCCTTGTGCTGGACAGAAAAGTCTCTTTCCTGTTTTGCTGTCAGCCCCTGCACGAGCTGCAGTTCTCTCCTGGCCGCCAGTGACATTTAATTTGTTACAATAAAAGCTTCGCGTTCCCTTAGCAGCAGACTCCCAGGGGAACTGAGAGGAACTGGGACATCTTTGTTGTGGTACCATCCTGCACGTCTTCCCAGAGGTCTGTTCTAAATCCTGCTTTATGCTGTCAGTTCCTCCCTGCTTTACTGGACTGCAGTGGGGCTGTTGAATTCAGAGCAGTGGTCCCTGACTTTTTGGGCCGTCACATCTGCTGTGAGCCTCCCCTGCTTGGCAGAGTGCTGCTGGTGGGTTTTCTTGGCTGTGCATTAACACAGGCTCTGCCAGTGCCAGGTAATGCATTTGCACTGGGATATCGATCCGTTCTGGGCAGTTAATTGACCGGTGCCACAGAGGGTCCCTCGCTTGTGAAGAGGCTTGGGAATGATTAGGAAACTGCTCAGACAAAGCAAGTGAGGTTTATGGGCACAGCACTAACGTAGCACTTCGGCGGCCCAGGCAGAGGATGGGAGTACAGAGCCTGCATTTCTCACACACCTGCCTGCTGGGGTTCTGCAGGACACCTGCCACAGGCCTTCTGCTTTCCTTCTCCTGGACTTTGCATCTGCCTCCTGTGGAGAAAATATGTAGCTGTTTCCTGAGAGATGGGCTTCTGAGAGCCAGTTTGACTTCCTCAACTCATCCAGAAGAGGCCCATTGCCCGGGCTGCTGTGTCCAGCTGACACTGGGAGTTGTTCCATTGGGGTATGGAGGTCTCTGGGCTCGGTGGTTGCAGTCTGACACGCCAGTCTAACTGGGTTGTAACTGGATAAGGTTGTGTAAGCCAGAAGACATCATCAGCACGCATAAAACTTATTGTGGGGTGTCTTTCCTGCTGACCCAAGTGCCTGAGTGGGTGGTGGGAACAATCCTCTCATGTGGTCATGACGTCTGGCTACAGTCATGTGGTGGGATTTGTTGGGCTGACTCTGAAACCTGTTTCACAGACTTGTGGTGGTTTTGGAATGTCCTTTTTACTGTTGAAAGCTCCCATAAATGTTTAGAGGGCCGAACACTTGCGATGTCCAGCAGCATGCTCAGGTCTGGGCTCCAGATCATGAGTGGTGATACCTGCAGACCTCGGGTCCTGCTGGTACGTGGTTCATTCCTGTTTGAGGAACAGGTTTGCTTGCTGAGGGCTGGATGTAAACTTCAGCAAGTGGGGTCAGGACACTTGCTGGGACAAGGTGACCTTTTTGATTCGTAGCAGTGCCTGTGGTTTCTCTGAAGGGCAAGAGCAACAAGGTGAACTTAACACAGGGGAACAGCTCTGTGCACTCCTGTTTTGTGGTGCTCACAGAGGTTTGGCTGGTTTAGCACTAAGCTAACAAACTGTCTCCAGGTGCTGCAACATCCTTAAATTGATTTGAGACTGCTGCCTTAAAGAGGAAATGTGGGAGGAGGCTGGTAACTTGGCCAAGAACAAGTTTCTCAGCCTTTCTCAGGTGCATAAATCTGTCCTGTACTCCTCTTGCAGGACCTGGCTGCTGTGGGGTTGAGGCAATGAGAGAGGCAATGAGGGAGGCATTGCTGCCCTCCCAAACTGAGAAGAGAGTTTCCTGAAGGGGACTTGCTGCAGTTCACTGCACACTCTCACCGTGTCAGACCTTGTCAGACTTTCTGCCAGGGCTGCTCTAAATATCAAGTAAATGCAGATCTTTTAATAAGAAGTTGGAGGAAAATTGCAGCTGAGGAAGCAGAGAAGGGGAAGCATTGCTCTCATCTTGTCTGGAGTTTTGCTAAGAGGCTTTTGGGAGATCAATTTTGAGCTGCCACCTCCCAGGTTGATAGTCCATTGTGTTCTTTTATATCAGAGACCTCAAGCTCATTTCAGGTGAAGTAACTTCTCCTGCAGGCAGACCTCACAAATGTGAAGGTATTTTGGAATGCGCAGTGAAGGACTCAGCAGTGGGAATGTTCAGAATCTGGTGTGCCTGCCCTGGCATACTGGGTTTGTTGTGTCTGGAAATGTAAAACGAATCCATATGAATTTCCAAGTGCTGTGCTGCCAAGCTCAGCTGATGGAGCAGTGAGACCAAAGGGACTGTCACTTTGACCTGTCTGTGGCCCAGAGTGCTGGTTATTGGGAGAAATGGAGCTCAATCTTCCCTGGCTGTCATGATAATCTGACCTGATTTTTCTCCTTAAGTTGCTCCCTCTGGAGCTGGGGCAGCATCCTGGGGAGAGGCTGAGGGGGGCTGAAGGACAGGGAGAAATGTGCATCCCGTGGTGGGATGCCTGTGCATTGCCCTTGGGATATGTCTCTGCCTCCCTTTCTCAGGTGGGATGCAGGATTACAACTATGTGTGGGCCAACTGCTTTGAGATCACGTTGGAGCTGTCTTGCTGCAAATATCCTCCAGCCTCTGAGCTTCAGAAGGAGTGGGAGAACAACAGGGAGTCTCTCCTTGCTTTCATTGAGAAGGTAAGTGTGGGCTGGGATGGGTGTGGGGGCGGCAGCTGGGAAACCCGTGTGCCTGTGACGGGCTGGGAGCACCGTGCTCGGGTGCTCTTGTGGCTTTGTTTGCTGTATGAGGTAACACAGCTGCAACAGCTGTTGTGTGGAGGTCGGTGGCTACAAAGCTGTTGTGTATCTCTGTGGTCCTGCCACAGCTCCCACAACCCCCACAATAACAGAGCTCTGCTGAGAGGGGCCTCGTGAGGTGCAGTGTTACAGGGACCGATGGGTGCTGGCCGAGGACACGGTTCCCCTGATGTTGTCTGTCTTCAGCCAGGCCCTTGCATTGTTTTCCTCAGGTCCACATTGGTGTGAAAGGCTTTGTCAAGGATGCAATCACTGGAGTTGGCCTGGACAACGCGACCATCGCCGTTGCTGGTATCGCTCACAACATCACAGCGGGCAAATTTGGGGATTACCACCGACTGCTTGTGCCTGGGACCTACAACGTGACTGCAGTTGTCGTGGGGTAATGTCTCTGTGGCAGCCTGTGTCCACACTGCCAACTCCTCCTCTTCCTTCACTTGTTTTCCTCCCCCAAAGCACCTTATGTGTTTAAGGGGCTTGGCTGTAAAGGACTCCAGCTCAGAGCTGCAGCTGTGTTTGCTCACCCTGTGCCCTGTTGCAGTGGGGTGCTGTTGAATACACAGAATTTTTGTCGCCTTTGTTTGACTGCTTATATCAAACTGCATCTTACTTTTGTGCAAAGGGAGAAAGCGGAGTGGGGTCACCCCAGTAGGAGTTTGTGTTGTCCCAAGCCTGGGTGTGAATGTGTAACTTGCCTCTTGGCTAGTTCTGTGATACACCTGGGGCTTCTTCCCTGCTGAGCCTGTAAACAGGAACTCATGCCTCTGACACAGCAAGGACAGCAGTGGAGCTGGGTTCAGTGGTAGTGGGATATGTCCCATCAGCTTGTTCCTGGTGAATCTCTCACAAGGTCATTAATATCCCGGTGTGTTTGGGCTGGTGGGGTGGAGGGACTGGAGGGGTTTTTTTCCCTCTGTTTGCAGAGCCTCCTTGCTGAAGCCAGTTGTTTTTTTCACAGTTACACACCAGTGACCAAAGAGAACGTCGAGGTGAAGGAGGGAGATGCAACAGAAGTGAATTTCTCCTTGCAGCCAACTGTGATGCCACCAGCTCTTAATGTCACACAGTTCACGACAGCGCCGGCTCCTGCCACTACCGTCACCCCCACCCCTGTGCTGGCAGAGGCCCCAAATCCAACCTCTCTCCATGAACCCATCCAGCCCGTGGACTTCCGCCACCATCACTTCTCGGACATGGAGATCTTCCTGCGGCGTTATGCCAACGAGTATCCCAACATAACCCGGCTCTACTCCGTCGGCAAGTCCGCGGAGCTGCGGGAGCTCTACGTGATGGAGATCTCTGACAACCCCGGCGTCCACGAAGCAGGTGATGTGAGAAATCCTTTGCAGCGAGGCACAAATGCAAGTGACAGACCCCTTGCATGGGAGAGTGTGGGCAGAGCAGAAAGGAGGGTAGAGCTGGCCTCTGTCTCAACAGAGTTTGAGCTGCTCCTTGCATATCCTGTGTAAAAAGTGCGAGTGCAGTGGGTGGCACTTGTGTGTTAAAGAGCATTGCTGGGGACATCTGTGCTGGTCATGAAGCTCTGGGGACAGAAGGAGCACGGGGCTTCCCTGAGACATTGTTCTTTTTGGTGGTGTGGGAGCAGAAGGGTAAATTTTAGGTAAATACCCTGCAGCAAAACCTGCAAGAGCAATGGTCAGGGTGGTGAGGTGTCTCCAAGCTGTAATGTAATGGCTGTAATTGTCTCTTTGGTGTCACCATGTGTCTGCAGGTGAGCCGGAGTTCAAGTACATCGGGAACATGCATGGGAATGAGGTTGTGGGGCGAGAGCTTCTCCTGAACCTCATCGAGTACCTCTGCAAGAACTTTGGCACAGATCCTGAAGTGACTGAGTTGGTTCAGAGCACACGGATCCACATCATGCCGTCTATGAACCCTGATGGCTATGAGAGATCCCAGGAAGGTATTGCTGTCTGTGCTGAAATATCTGTGGGGTTTCTAGCTCTGAGAATAAGCCTTTTGGGTTCATGGTACCTCTGGGAAATCTGGAAGCTGTGCTGGAGCAGATGTGCTCTCTGCACAGGGAGGCTGGGAAGGGACTTGGTGCTGGGGGATGAGTGGGTGGACACTCACTGTAGGATGTGGGTGCTTGATGGATGCTGGAAGCTGTTGGAGAGAGCTCTTATGCTTCAGCAGAGCTATATACTGCCCCTCTTTGGGCCCCCTTATGGTAATCCAGGGCTTATTTTAAAAAAAGACATTTCTTTGACACAGCTCTTGCCTTGCTGTGCTTTGGTCCATTCTCTCAGTAAATGTGCTGTGGGAGCCAGGCTGTCTGCAGAGCACTTGTCCATGGATAACGTAGACTTTTATCATGAGGTTGAAATTGGCAAAAACATCCTTCAGGGAAGTCTTAAAACTACGTGGCTCTTGCAGATTGGCGGAACAAAGTCTGTCCAGAATCACTTTCTGGAAGCAGAGCTCTGCTCAGGTCTAATAAAGAACTTGTCCGGCTGGTTTGAGAAGGGGAGCTCTGAGGTTTCTGTGGTCGCGACATCCGGCTGCAGAGATTGTTCATGGTTCGGTGCCTGTCTGCTGGTTGAGGTGTCAGTGGCACTGAGAGCCTGAGCAAACATCCACTGGAAGGGCCCCCAGGCATCGCTGTGCAGAGCAGGTCACTCCCTGAGGGAGAGCGTGGGTGCCCCTCTCTCGGTGAAGCTTCTGTGCTGAAGTGGGAGCTTCACTAGGCACGAGCTTGAACTTGTGTTTAATTTTCAGGAGACAAAGGAGGTACCGTTGGCAGAAACAACAGCAACAACTATGACCTGAACCGGAACTTCCCAGATCAGTTTGTCAACGTGACAGACCCTCCACAGCCAGAAACTCTTGCTGTCATGGCCTGGTTGAAGTCTTACCCGTTTGTGCTCTCGGCAAACTTGCATGGAGGTACCACGACCAAGCTCCTTTCTCTGTACTGGGGTTTGTGGGATGGGAGTTTGCAGGGATATCTCCACAGTGTTCTAGGTGTGCACTGAGGAGCTCTCCTGCTTCAAGATGGAGGAGAAGGTGGAAACATAGGGTGAAAAACCATGTCCCCAAACATGTTTGTGCAGAGTTGAAGAGGCTGCTGGGATGATCCCAACCACTTCTCTGCAGGGAGCAGATGGGAATGATCATGGCAGATGGGGATGGACTCTTGTCAGCACTTGCTCAGCAGCTGGTCTGGGAATGGGATGCAGAGCTGTGGCTGTTAAAGGCTTCACAGTGTTTATAAAGTGAATGCAATCCTGAGGGTTCCATGCCTTGAATCACATGGCGGAACTATGAAATTTGCTGTAATTTAATTATCTTTTTTGGAATAATCTAAATTAAGTCTCTGTGTATTACAGTTTATTCCCTAGACAGTTTGTCTGCTGGCTTGTAGCTGTGGTAACTTGCAGGTGGTTGCTTTGTGCCAGCACGTTTTGTTTGGAGTGCAGAAGTACCGTGTGTGGGGATGAGGGGGCTGGCAGGTCTCCAGCAGCAGTGGTGTCTAGGGCTTCATGGTGCTATTAGTACAGCTTCCATAGGGAAAACCTTCAGTAACAAATTCCAGAAGGCTGAAAAACTGCATCATTTGGGTCAAAAGCATCATGTAGGCTGTAGGAAATTCCTCCCCTTGCTTTCACTTCCCTGTGAAAGCAATTATTATGTGGTTGTGCTCAGCCCTCCTTCGTGTAGAAGCCAAAGCTTTGATGTGTTGTGGCTTTGGTTCACCTTCTCATCTAGATGTGGTGTTATCTCTTCCTGTGCTTCTGTTGTCTTTTCTATCCACTGGGCTTAATGCTTTGTTTGATGCCAAGTCCTGAGAAACAGAAGACTTGGCACTTGCTGGAGAATAATTTCCCTTACTATGCCGAGGGAAGACTGGGAAAGCACACAAGTATGAGCCAAAGCTTGTTTTGCCTGCAGGTTCTCTGGTGGTTAATTACCCCTTTGATGATGATGAGCAAGGAATAGCCATATACAGTAAATCCCCAGACGATGCTGTGTTCCAGAAGCTGGCACTTGCCTACTCCAAGGTAGGGCTCTAACAGGATCATCCTGATGGGTGAACTCCAGGGAACCTCCCGAGCAGCTGGTATAGGTGGGCACAGGTACTGTGGGTGCCTAGTGTTGCAGGCACAGCAGAAGGGTCCCACAGCAGACTCTTGTTCCATGAGTGATGTCCAGCACATTCCATCTGCAGGCACTGAGGGAGGAGAGCTCTGTGCAGGCTCAGGGAACAACACGTTGAAGGGTGTTGGAAAATGCTGTTAACTGGCTGGGAGGAGGGCAAGGGTATCTCTGGGTTGTGTTTGGGTGTGGAAGCAGTTGGTGCTGCAGCCATACAAACACACCTCTACATGAACCTCTGTTTGGTAACACCAAGCATGTGACTGATGGTAGAACAATAGTGCCAGTGGCTGTGGAGTGCAGACTCAGCTTCACATGTTGCATCTTGTTTTACAGGAAAATGCACAGATGTACCAGGGAAGCCCTTGTAAGGATATGTACCCCACTGAGTACTTCCCACACGGCATCACTAATGGGGCTCAGTGGTACAATGTTCCAGGTAAAGTACACCCTAAATCTCCTGCACTGTTTGTCTCCAAGTTAATGCATGTGCAGCTTAAATAATTTAGTCTGATCAGTCAGGAGCTCTGCATTGGTCAGCCCAGATTAATGGGCTTCTTTTATAACCTCTTGAATAATGTACTCAGATAAACTTATTCCTGGGGGAAGGAATTTATAGTATAGTTTTCCCGGCTATTAGCAAAATGGTTTCATAAAATTTTACAGCACTTTATTAGCATGAAAGGTATTTACAAGAAGAAAGGTTATTTGTCTGCTCTTTTGGCATCCCTTTGAAGCTTGAATCCTGCCCTGTGTAAAAGCCTTCTCCCTTCAAGTTTCACTTCATCTTTCTCTGCTGTCTGATATTTTGGTTTAGCTGTGATACTTCAGAAGACTTTGTCAAAATTCTTTTTACGTTCCTGTTGTAGGTGGGATGCAAGACTGGAATTACTTGCATACAAACTGCTTTGAACTGACCATTGAGCTGGGCTGTGTGAAATACCCAAGAGCTGAGGAGCTGCCCAAGTACTGGGCCCAGAACCGCCGATCGCTGCTGCAGTTCATGAAACAGGTGGGACACTTGGACCTCAGGCAATCGTGTGAGCTGCCTCTGGGGTTTGTTTTAGACATGCCACAATGAACAGGCTGGTCTGTGGGCTGAAGCAAGTGCTGCTTCCTGGCCGAACCAGGTACCTGCTCCTCAGAAATCATCCCCATCAGAACCTGTCACAACTCCTTCTCTCCCCTCCTTCTCAACATACCAAAAATCTGTATGGAAATAGCAGCCAAGTGATGCAGGTGTGGGTTTTTTATGTACCACTACCTTGGCTTTCCCTAGGCTGGAGTGGTCCTTACATGCTGTTCCTACCTGAGCCAGGGCTGCTGCACACCTGGGGCGTGCAAACAAAGGTGTGGAGCAGAGAGTGCCGTGCTGGCACTCTGAGCCAAACAATTGCTCATTGTACTCATCAGGTGATCTTTGACCACACCAGCTACTGGCCAGTCTAACCTGAACCCTTTTGGAACATCTTGCTCCTCTGGGAATGCTGGAAGTCCCGGGCTGGGAGGTGGGGGAGTGTGGATGTCAGGGAGGGCCGTCTCTCAGCAGGGCTCGGGTCTGTGTGCAGGTTCACCTCGGCGTCTGGGGCTTTGTGCTGGATGCTGTGGACAAGAGGGGCATTCTCAATGCCACCATCAGCGTGGCCGACATCAACCACCCCGTGACCACCTACAAGGATGGAGACTACTGGCGCCTCTTGGTCCCGGGGACGTACAAAATCACAGCGTCTGCCCGAGGGTGAGCGAGCCACGGCACGAAGGCGGGCGGCTGCGTGACTGACTGCCCCGTCAGGAGCATCCCATCCCCTCTGCCTACAGCAGATGTAGGAATGGGCCTTTCTCCTGCCCTCTGGCCTGTGCAGAGAGAGCAGTGTGAGGCTACCCTGATGTCAGAGACTGCTCACCTGGCTCTGGTGTACAGTCCCAATCTTCCCTTGTTTGGAGGTGATCTGTTGAAGGAGTGGATAACTCAGTGTCCTTAGGGGAAATTCTCTTCCAGGCAGCTGCCCACAGAAATGACTTCATCACTTCAACTGCTGCCAAAACTCTGTGTTAAAGCAGCCTGACTTGCTGTCTTGCCAGTCTGCCACATAACCCTGCAACACCTGAGCCAAAAGCAGCTCAACGCCATGTTGGGCCCTGAGCTGTTCTCTGTCCTCCTGCCGTTCCCATGTCCTTTTGAACTGCTCTTGCTCCTCATTTCTACCCTTCTCACTTAGGGCTGGGGAGCAATAGCAGTCCCATGTGAAAATGTAGTAAGGACAGGGATGGCCTGTTGTCTGAGATCTCAAATGCCTGATGTTTCCTTGTACCTTCTTTTCCCTGGGCAGGTATGATCCAGTCACTAAGATGGTGGAAGTTGGCAGCAAAGGTGGGGTGCAGGTCAACTTCACTCTTTCACGGACAGACAGCAAAGTGGAGGAGGGAAAGGTGCTGGTCTTGAACACCCCAGACACCAGCAACCCCACCGAGAAGGAGTTTGAGACCCTGATCAAAGATCTCTCTGCTGAGAATGGTCTGGAGCGGCTCCTGCTCACCTCCTCCCGGGATGTGGCTCCGTACCGGTACCGCCCGTACAAGGACCTCTCCGAGTTCCTCCGAGGCCTCTATCTGAACTACCCACACATCACAAATCTCACCAGGTGAAAACAAAGCAGCAGTGCTCAGCTCCTCCCTGAGCAGCAGCCTGGGGTAGGGATGTTGTGCAATTGTGAGCTGGGAACACAGATGGGGAGCTCATCCTTCCCCTTCCCTGTGCTCCCTGAGATGGAGGGAGCGCCGTGTGTAAGGACATGGTGGCTGGGCAGTGGCTGCAGGGAGTGTATCTGTGTGCTTTTTCCTGAGACGTCATTTTGTTGACTTAAACCTGGAGTGCTCTTGGTTCCCCAGGTGTGCCTGGGACTGGCAGTATTCCCAGTGTTGATATCCCAGGCTTCTGCAGATATCTCTGCTCTGTGCTCTCCGTTTCTTTTCCAAATCCTTTCTGACATCCACCCTGCTAAAGAGCCCCCATCAAAAATGATCTGGTTTGACTTACAAATCTCAGATGGCCTTTTTTCATTGTCTGCCTCCAGATTTGATTTCAGTAGTGTGAGACATGTTTGAGTGAGCTTGCCCTGAGCCAAGGTCTCTGCCCTCCTGCAGGAGACCAGCTGCTGCCATCCTCTGCTTTCCTTTGTAACCTTACCCTCTGTCAGCTTTAGAAAGCACAAATCCCTTTGTCCCAGGACCTCATTTGCTTGTTGTCACCAGGCACAATGTGCTCATGTGCTGTCCCCACTGGTGCCAAGGCTGCTTTGCTGATCTGTAGCCTCTATTGTCCCTGCAGTTGCATGAGCCCTGAGTCTGTTCCTTGCTTTCCCTGCATTCAATTTGCCAGCTTAATGGCATGACTGTAGCAACAGCTCCTGCATTACTGGGAACAGGCCTCTTTTGTCCTCCACACTGGGTGCTTGATAAATTAGTTTGATGTCCAGGTGTATCCTGCTCTGAAGGAAAAAAAGCCCCCACAAACAAACCAAAAACCACCATTGGCAGCACAGAGGCATCCAGCAGTTCCACATTTATCATGATCCCATGGGCTATATGGAGATGTATGGAGCATTGGGTGTCCTGGATACGCTCTTCCACAGATGCTGCTGTTCAAACTGATGTTCCTGGTGAATTCTGTTCAGTGCTGCTGCAAATCTGCCCTCAGGATGTGGTTGTGTTTCACTTGCCTTTGCAGCCTCCTCAAGGAGATTCCTTTCCACAGTGGGGTTTCTCCATGAGGTCAGGCTGGAGTTGCAGCTGGAGTTGAGCTGACACTCCCATTTCTCATCTCTTGGCAGTTTGGGTCAGAGTGTCGAGTTCCGTCAGATCTGGTCCCTTGAAATCTCCAACAAGCCCAACCAGTCTGAACCTGAGGAGCCCAAGATCCGCTTTGTTGCCGGTATTCATGGCAATGCTCCTGTTGGGACAGAGCTGCTCCTGACACTGGCAGAATTCCTTTGCATGAACTACAAGAAGAACGCTGCTGTTACAAAGGTGAGGGACCAATGCAAGGGACCACCTTGAGCCTTCCTGAGATGGCAGTGCTCACTGGGAGGGACTTGTCTTGCTAACCCTGGCTTGGGGCTTGCGGTGATCCCGTGTGTAATAGGGAGGTGTGCGATCCGTGGAGTGAATGGGAACCTCAAACTGTGGTTCCTAGGATGAGCTCCAGGAAAGTGAGCTGTACAGAGAGTTAGCCCTACTAATTGCACTTTATGTACTGTTTCTCCTTTTGCTCAGCTGATTGACCGGACACGGATTGTGATTGTGCCTTCCCTGAACCCAGACGGACGCGAGATCGCCCAGGAGAGGGGCTGCACGTCAAACATAGGCCGGACTAATGCTCACGGCAGAGATCTGGACACAGACTTCACAAGTAAAGCAAACCAGAGCAGTGATGTGTAGTGTCCCTGTAGAAATGCAGGCTGCTGCAGGAGTCTCCTGCTAAGTGCTCTGGAGTTGGGTGGAGTTGTTCAGTTACAGGGCCTGCCTGTAAAGAGGGCAGCGCTCCTGCCCTGGAGACCAGGCAGCACAGCTGCTGGGAAGCTTCCAAAGCTTGAATCCCTCTTACAGACAGCAATTTGCAGTCTCTTATGTGCAAGAGACGAAGCAGAGTTCTTTAGGAATAGTCCAGAGGTCAGATAACACCTAATATATTTTTGCTCTTCATTGATTTCTTTCATCTCTGAAAAAATGCTCTCCATTCATGCTTCCCAGAAACAGTCTCCTTTTTTCATGCTTTTCTGGTTTCCATGTAACTGTATCCATAGCACTGTATCAGTGTTATGCCTACTCTCCCTAAGGAGTAAGTGTTCTGTGCCCAAGTTGGGCTGGGATCGTTCCAAATGCTTTCTTAACAAAATGTCAGTACTGTGACATTGCTGTGAGCAGACACACATGAAATACCCTCTGCAACACAAAACTAAATAGCCTGGGGAAGTAGTGATGTTTCACGTCTGTTTAGCTTTGCAGATGAATTCCCCCCATGTGTAGTGAGGACTGGGTGCTTTACTTGGTCAGTCAGGTGCATCTGCTGAGATCTAACAGATGCTTTTTAATACATGCAGCAGACTTAATTTCAGACATAAAGGATGTATTTCCGGCCCCTCAAACCGCTGAGGAAACTGGTTCTATTTGTTGTTCTGATTTACAGGCAATTACACCCGGCACTCTGCGACACGGGAGCCTGAGACCAAAGCCATCATGGAGAACTTGATACTGAAGCAGGATTTCAGCCTCTCTGTTGCCCTGGATGGAGGATCCCTTCTTGTCACTTACCCCTATGATAAGCCAACCCAGTCAGGTATGACTGAGTGCACAGTTACCCTCGGGCTGTCTCTCCAGAAGTTCATGTGACCCCGTGGTGTAAGAGCTTTTTGTGCTGCTGGTGTTCTGTAACCTCCTTTGTTTTCAGCCCTTTGTATGTGGAGTTGACAGTCTGTAAGTAAAGCTATAAAACCTCTCAGGGTTCAGCTAGGGATCAGAACACTTACAACTTCTGTTTCTACAACAGTATTTCAACCTTTCCTCTGCCAAAGCCAGTATAAAGTGTACTTTTGATACAGCCCCTCAGTGTTAGAGGAAATCAGGAATGCCCCTGGAACAATGTATGTCACTGTTTAGTACAGGATTGTGGGGTTAGAATGGGAATCTGCCCCTCCAGGGAATGGGAGCTGCACTCTCAAAGTCTCACTTTTCTCGTTGTAGTGGAGAACAAAGAAACACTGAAGCATTTGGCATCTCTGTATGCAAACAACCACCCAGTGATGCACTTGGGCCAGCCAGGCTGTCCAAATAAGTCAGGTATGTTTGGTTGAATCTTTTAACCCCCTGTCAGCTTGTGGCAGACTCTGCTGGAGCAGCTCTGTCTGACAGCTGTGTTCTTGCTCTCACAGACGAGAATATTCCTGGTGGCGTGATCCGTGGCTCAGAATGGCACAGTCACTTGGGAAGTATGAAGGTACTGCTGCATGGCACAAGGCTTTCCACATCTGCTAAATGACCAATAAAAAGCATGTTTTTTCTGATATCTGGGCTAAACTTCCTCACCTTTGGCTGCTTTTGGCAAAGCTTTTTTAATACCTCTTTTTTTGTAACTGCGATGGTGTTTTTTGCAGGATTTCAGCGTGACATTTGGTCATTGTCCTGAGATCACTGTTTATACCAGCTGCTGCTACTTCCCGAGCGCTGGACAGCTTCCTGGCCTGTGGGCAGACCACAGGAAATCTCTCCTCAGCATGCTCGTGGAGGTGAGCTGCAGTCTGTGGGAGGAAATTCTGGCAAGGAGCGAAGGTAGTGGGGAGGGGGAGAGGAAGAGAACAGCACGGAGAGTCTTTGTGGTTTTGTTGGTGCTGTGTAATTACAGACGGTCATAATTTAGACTGTATGAGGAATGGATTGAACAGAGGCAGCAAGTGACCAGGACATGTGTTGACACAAGAGTTAAACATCTGTGCTGTGTTGCCTTGCAGTGTCATGCACTGTTATTTATTGTGGGGGTCAGGGCTGGGAAGGGGGCTGTATTTTGGGGGGAAGGTTAGATCCTATTTTAGTTCCAAGTGCACTGTATGCTTGGATCTGAACGTGAAGTGTCTGTAATGCTTCATTTCAGGTTCATAAGGGAGTGCATGGGATTGTCCAAGACAAGAGTGGCAAGCCAATTTCTAAAGCTACCATTGTTCTGAACGAGGGTTTGAGGGTCTATACTAAAGAAGGGGGCTATTTCCACGTGCTCCTGGCTCCAGGTTTTCACAGCATCGATGCAATAGCCAATGGGTACCAGCAGAAACATGTCAAGGTATGTGAATGTCCCTGTCAGAGATCTTCCCCCACTCCCTGCACATACAGACTTCCCTGTTTAGCTGTTGATTATGTGCCATCAGGAGCTGTTTTCTGCCTTGATACAATGGATGGAGAACAACTTTCCAGCACAGCAGGGTTGTTTGAGCAGTAGCTTCTCTTTTCATTGCACTTGTTTTTGCTGACTGGGGCAGGACTGGGTGGATGACAAGTGTCTCTCTTGTCTGGACACCCAACACAGGTGAAAACTGAGATGATCTAATCTCTCCTGTCTTTCTGCAGGTCTTTGTACGTGATGATGCACCCAGCTCTGTCTTCATAATATTTGACACAGAAAACAGGATTTTTGGACTGCCAAGGGAGCTGGTTATAACTGTTGCAGGTAAAGTGACACTTGTTATCAAAGCTTTGAGCTTTGCTTTCTGTGCTAGTTCATGATGATGGTGACCCTCCACTGAACTGGGAAAGCAGCCTTCAGACTTAAACCATCTCCAGCTTTCCCTTTTGAACACACACTTTTCCATGCAAACTGATCCAACGGCCCTTGGGTCTGGTGATGCTGGGCTAGCAGGAGGGAGGGTGGAAGTGTGTTGCAGGGATTTGTGGGGTCCACAACGTACTTTGAGATGCCTGGAATGGGGAGAGCTTGTGTGTAGAGCTGGGAGCTAGGAGATCTTTTTGCTTCCCCAAGGTTTCTTTGGGTGGTGTGGCACCAGGTGAGCATTAAGAGATTATTTTATGTTATCAAGGTGGAAGCACCTGGGGAGGATGAGAGTTTAGATCCAGTGGTCTGCAGAGGAGCTCGGTGATGGTCTCCTAGATTGCAGGCACAGAAAATAAAGTGAGTGCTGTTCTCTTCTGGGATCAGCTCTCCCGTCTTCCATGGCCTAGGAGGAAGGAGCAGGGTCACAGTGAGGTGAGGAAAGTGGTTGTGACTGTAGGAGGGAAGATGGATCAAGCCTGGGAGCCTCTGTGGTGAGGGAACATGGCATTAACATTAGTGTCCTCTCTCTGGCAGGTGCAAGTATGTCTGCTCTGGTCCTCACTGCCTGCATCATCTGGTGTGTCTGCTCAATCAAGTCCAACAGACACAAGGATGGCTTCCACCGCCTCCGGCAGCACCACGACGACTACGAGGACGAAATCCGCATGATGTCCACTGGCTCCAAGAAATCCCTGCTGAGCCACGAATTCCAGGATGAAACGGACACTGAAGAAGAAACACTGTACTCCAGCAAACACTGACACCTCCCGGGCAGGAAAGGAGGTTGCCATGGACCAGAGCCGGTTGTGGGGGGCGGTCCCTGTGGTTCAGTTTTGAAACCTTAGCTTCAGGATGTGTCCTCCAGAGGGGCAGGTGGCAGCTCCCAACTTCCCTCTGTTTGCTCTGTCCTAATGTACCTGCTAATCAGTGGGTGTTGGAGGCTGTTTCTGGGATAATGACATGGTGTTGGTACATTTTTGGGTGAAGATCTGGAGGGTCACATGACGTGATTTGAAAGGCAACTTAACAGGGTGGCCAGCAGAGCTTTTAGCACTTCCCCAGCATCTCAGCACAGGGAATAGATGGTGGGGAAGTGCCCCAAGACCTGCCTGGAGTCGTGGCTACAACACTCCAAAGAGGTTTCTCTACCTGTTTTGATTTGATATTTTCCACTCTGTGCTTGGGGGAAGCCAGATCCTTCACGTGAATCAATGTTCCCCAGGGCAGCCCTTGGAAAAAGACCAAAAAAAAAAAAAGCCTTCGATTCTCAGCTCTTCCCTTGGAGCTTTTCCCGCCATGGGATGCTGTGGCCTGGTGTGATCTGCAGTGGTTGTGGAGCATCTCTTTATGTGTCATTAGTTTCAGGGGGTGACTTGGCATCCTGAAAGCTGGAGGACATGACATCGTTCTTGATGTGAGCTGGAGAAAGTCAGAGCCTCAGTGCACTCTGACAGAGTTCCATTGCCTGCCAGCTCTGCCACAGGGCTGCTCCTGACTTCTGGGGAAGAAAGAAACTTTATCCCCGTCACCCCTGGTTGTGTTTTGTTTGTGTAATAGGCTTGGCTGTGGGAGTCTCATGTTAATGTTACCACAGCTCAGTGTCTGCAAGAGCAGCTGAAGGTTATTCTAAGGGAATGGATTCACTGATTTGTAGAAGAGCAGTCAGTTACTGCTCCACCTGATCAGCTTTGCTCAAATCCACCTTTGTTCAGGAGGAAACAGTGAAATCTGTATACCACTGCTTTGTATTGGAGCTTCAGGGAGAGGTCATGGGAGTATCCATGGCCCAACTTTAGCACTAAATTTTGAAGAAAAGCTGCACCATTTGCCAATTTCCGCATAACACCATTTCAGTCACCAAGCTCTGGTGATGGCAGGCAGCAAATTAGCTGCTGGCTCGGTTCTGTTCTGCTCCTGCAGCGTCCCTGAAGTGTAGAGCAGGAGCTCCACCTGTATGTGTGGCTGCAGCTGAGGCTGCTGTGGGTCCTGGGGGCAAGGTGTGAGGAAGGGCTGAATTGTGCTGAAGGAGGAGGGAAAAGCAGCCAAATTCTGTTGTGTAGCACTTGGCAGGAAGTTGTAAAGAGGAGCTGCAGCACACATCCCCAAGACATGCAGGATTTGTGGGGAATAGAAGGGATGTCCAGAGGGGAAGAATGGCTGAAATGTTTGATTTCTAAAGCCTTTATGCATCTCTGATGTTCCTGTGCTTTCTGGGCAGAAGGCTGGGGTTAGAATAGGCACTTATTTTCTTGCTGCTCATTTTCTTTTTTAATTCTTGCCCCACTGACCTGATCTCTGGGGTGCAGGAGCCTTAGGCCTCTAGTTTGGCCTGAGCTGCTCTGTCCTCCAGCAGCCTGGGGATGTCCACTAGAGCAACCTGCACGTGGTGTCCATGGTGGGGGTGTTTGCACCCAAATAGATGATGGGGTCTGCTCTGCAGGGCTCTGACCTGCTCTCCTCTGGAGGAACAGCACAGTGTGTTCCCCTTTTAAGGCTGTTGGGCCATGTCACCTGGGGAAGAGGCTGTTCCTCACCTCTGCCTGTGGTGATGCCCTGCCAGAACCACGTGGCTGTGCTGTCATTCTCATCATCTCATCTGGTTTTGTGTAGCTGTCTGGGGGCACAGAGATAACCCTTAGTCACCAGTGTACCTTCTTCCCTGTTCCACAGGGGATTCTACTACAAAACATGAAAAGGTGTGGCTGAGGTGGTGTGCTGGGAACAGTGAGATGAGGCTGAGCATTCCCCACACTCCTGTCCCCCCTGTCCTGTTGATTCTGCAGGAACCATGAACATCTCTGAGCCTGTTCCCAGCTCATCGTGCTGAGCAGGGGATTGGCTTTAGTCCTGGGCCATGTCCCTTTTCCATGTGTACCAGGCTGCAGGACACCAGCACACAAAAGCATTAATCCTGCCTCATCTCTGAACTGTTCCTCCTTTAACAAGAGACACAGTAGGTTTTATTTAAAGTCGGGTTTGCAAATGGCTCTTAGGGCTCTGTTTGGGCTTTGTTTGCTCTGTCAGCAGGTAACGGGCAGAGCTGGCCGTGCTTTGTCCCTCTAGCAATAAGTCCTGGCCCTTTCCCTCAGAGTGAATTTCGCAGTTTAGCTTGGAGTAGGTGTGTATATTTAAGGTGAGTGGATTTGAGATGTTTTGCAAACGTGAGAGACTTTTCCTACGTAGCAGGACCAGGTGGGGGTGCCTGGCTCTGGCCCCGGCTCTGTGCTCAGAGCTTCGCAAGCGCTGGGGCTGTTCCTGAGCAGTTTGGGAAGGCAGGAGCGGCTCCCCCGAGCCCTCGGTCCGTCTGTCCGTCCGTGCGTCCGCCCGTGCCCCGGGCCGAGGAGCCGGTCCCCGCTGTCGCTGTCGCTCCGTGCACTTGTGCCTTCAAATGTAATTTTAAAAGGGACTTGAATCGCCGATTCCTGGCAGCGGGAGGGGAGGGGGCGGCGCGGGGCCGGGCCCGGCTCTGCCCTCGGGCGCTGCCTGTTTTTTACCTGTTATACTGAGATCAATAATCTGTATAAAACTATTTTGATGTCCACGTGGGTTCTCTCGTTCTTGCTGCTGCGGGACAGGGGGGACTCGAGGTTGTGAGGAGGGCGCTGGGCGGGACGGGAGAAGCGGGACCGGGGGATAGGGAACGGGGATCGGGGGAGCAGGACCAGGGGATCGACACCGGGAGAGAGGGAGCGGGGCTGGGGGACCGGGATCAGTGGATCTGGACAGGGGCCGAGGAGAAGAGCGGGACCGAGACCGGGGGAGCGGCATCGGGACGGTGACGGGGACCGGGGGACCGGGACCAGGACCGGCGGAGTGAGAGCTGGACCTGGGGAGCGGGACCTGGACCGGGAGATCAGGGTCGGGGGAAGCAGGATCTGGATCAGCGCAGGGGGACCTACACCGGGAGATCGGGATGGGGTCGGGAGCAGGAGCGGCGCGTCCCGCCCGGTGTAGGCGCTGTGTCCGCCCGGCCGCTGGGCGGCGCTGCTGTGGGAGGCCCGCCCGTGCCGGGGGCCGCTCCGTCCCGCCCGTCTCGGCGGCGCTGGCCCGCAGCTGACGTTGGACAACAAAGATGGCGGCGGGGAGCAGCAACTACTGGGAAGGCGAGTGGGGCCGGGGGCGGCGGGGCCGGGGCGGCCGCGCCCCGCGGGGCTCCCCTGGGGCACGGCCCGGGCACGGCGCGGCGGGACCGCCGCCGGGGCCCCTCTGCTCGCCTCCGGGGGGCCGACGGGCGCGGGCGGTGCCGGCCCGTCAGCCATGAGGCGCCGGTGCCCGCGGAGCCCCGCGGCTGTGGGGCAGGGCTGAGGCTGCTCAGCCGTGACCCCCTTTGGGCGTGGGGCGCTCCCCCAGCCATGAGGGTCCCTCCTTACCCTGTGGGTTCCCCTCCCCGGGGCTCCCGGGCGGTCTGTGGGACCGGGAACTCCCGAGGCGCGGGGGCCCCGGGCGGGTCCGTGACTGTCCCCCCGCCCCGCGCAGATCTCAGGAAACAGGCGAGGCAGCTGGAGAACGAGCTGGACCTGAAGCTGGTCTCCTTCAGCAAGCTCTGCACCAGCTACAGCAGCGGCCGAGACGGAAGGCGCGACAGGTATAGGTACTAAGCCCGTTTCTTTATGTTTTAAACGCTGCCCCTGGTGCTGGGTTCGTTTTTATCGTTTGCTGAATGGTGGTCCCACCTGTGGCTCGTTTCAGCACTTGCTGCTGGTGTTGGCCTTGATGTGATTTCGGGGTGTGAGTCAGGAAGGGCTGTGGGTGACACATGTCACTGGGGAGAGCTGAGTTTAAAGTTCAGTCTGTGTGGGGTCACTGGGAACTGCTGATAGAAGTTTTTAATGCTCATTACATCATCTTGTTTCCCAGTTTTCATTGTATTGAACCAGCAGGAGGTTTTCAGGACCTCATCATTAGGGGAATTTAGCCTTACACCTCCCAGGTGTGCTGTGTAATCCCCGTTTTAAGGGAACTGGAGCACTGAGCAGCTGTGGCTGGTGCAAGGCTGGCAGGGAACAAGCCCTCTCTTCACAGGGGTGGCTGTTTCTTCCTGGCTTTCTCCTAAGGTGAGTGATAATCACAGAACCATGGAATGGTTTGGGTTGGAAGGTACCTTAAAGGTTATCTCGTTCCAACCTCCTGCCATGGGCAGGGACAGTGTTAATGAGAATGATGAGAGCTGCACATATATTTTTATATGTGTGTATATATGTATATGAACCAGATAAGTAGGTACTTGTGCGTGTATATGAGTAGTTTCTGTTTGCTTTAGGCAGATTCATGTTTGACTGAAGAATTACTTTGATAAAACTCTTCCAGTCTTTCTATGTTGGGGGCCAAAGGTGAGCTCTTCCCTGCAGTTCCACAGCAGGAATTATGAACTTCTCTGTCTGAGTGCAACCTTTAAAAAATGCCATTCTTTGCTTATTAACTGTATCAGTTATGACTGTGATTACTGTAGGGGTGTGTGTACTGATTTTTTTTTTTTAATTTGATGAATTAATCTATTTTGAACCTTTCCCTGAATTTCTGGTTCTGGAAGCCTGAGAGCATCAGAGCCCTTAGTTTCACTTTTGCTTCTGACTCTGTGCTGTTACTTGATGTGTAATCTAATTGTTTTCATTGTTTTTGTTGTCCAATGCAAAACTTACTTCTCTTACTCAAGTTAAGGCAGATTACCAAAGCCCTGAGTTGTCTCTGAGGGTTCTTAATTGTCACACTTTTACAGGCAGGTCTTAGATGTGACTTTTCCTTGTGGTTTTAGTTTATCTTAAAAAGCAAATAGGGAAGGTGTGTGAAACTGTAATTGTGTGTGTTGCTCTGTAGAGCACTGATTGCTTAATAAGTTAGTGGGTTGTCCTAACACCGTGTTATTAAGGTGTGATTATGTTGCTGTAACAGTGCAGTGCTCCCTTCTGCCAGTAAATAAATAAATCAAATTTAAAACTTGGGGAGAAAAGGACATTGGTGCCAGACAAAGGTGTGTGGTGTCAGGCATGTCTTCCAAGGAGAGGTTGTATTTCCCCATGTGTCATCCATTCAGATAAGAATTAAAGGTATATGTGATAAGAAAATGTGGTTTTCCTGAGCTTAATTCACCTCTAGGAAACCTGGGTAGTGGAGCTTTCCAACCCCTGTCCCCAGTGTTTCCTTATTTCTTGCATTTGTGGAATGATGCGCTTTTCAGTAACTGCTCCTCCCCTTTTCCCTAGCTCTGACACAACTCCTCTCTTAAATGGATCAAGCCAGGACAGAATGTTTGAGACCATGGCCGTGGAGATTGAACAACTTCTGGGAAAGGTAACTGGAGTTACTGTGGCTTTACTGGGGCGTTTAGGAAATGTTGCGGTCCGGGTTTGTGTGAGGGACGTTTGGAAACGCAAGTGTGGGTGTTGGACAAGGTGTGCCTGTCCAGCCAACTCCTTCAGCTTGTGCATTGTATTTTTCATACAAGAACGAGCCTTTCATGGGTTTTTTGGGGTTGTTTTCCCTCCTGTAGCTCACTGGGATAAATGACAAAATGGCAGAGTACACCAACAGTGCGGGCGTGCCGTCCCTGAATGCGGCGCTGATGCACACGCTGCAGCGCCACAGAGACATCCTGCAGGTAACAAAACGGGCCTCCCCCCTGCCTTTGGGTTGGTTCTTAAAAATAATTTAATCGTTTAATTGTAATAGTTTAAAATAATTATTGTCAGTGCTGATCTCACGGCGTGCTGGAGTGTCTTACCAGGAGGTTCAGACACCACCGATCCCATCTCACTTTTCTTCACTCCAGGCACCCTCTGAACACTGAGTTGAAAGGAATAGCATTTTTTATGTTATATTGGTGACTAGTACTTAGCTAAGAAAGAACAGTAAAGGGAGCTGTCTTATGTGGGTGGGGTTTATGTGGCAAAAGGGGGAAGGTGCTGTAATGATTTACTTTGCGTGGTTTGTAACGTAGCAATAACCAAGGGAACATCACACTTCAGAAGACATGATTGGAAAACCTTCTAAGCTTTTCAAGTGAGTTGAAGGAGATGTGCTGGGTAAAGCTACTAGTTAGTGCTGTAAATTAACCATGTTTCACACAGGTGATGTTTTCATGGCATAGGATTGTTAAAATGCATGTTTTATTTGTCTGGTCATGTGCAGTTTGATTTCTGCTTTGTATCTGTGCAATATACAGTGTACAAAGCACAGTGTTTTGTAAAAGCCATAGCATTTATATGAATGGAATGGGTTTGGTGGACACCAGTTGCCAGTTGAATTGTTTTTTTTGAGAAGTACCAGCTGCCTGAAATGGTTTCAAATGTAAAATTGCAACTTGAACATAAAGAAGTCACGTTCACTGTTCAAAGAGTACTTTTTTTCATCCAGTGTGACAGCAAAATAAACCCAAGGACATCTTCACCACACTAAACAAGTAGGTTTTATTAGATGTTCTAATTGAACCAATAAGGAGAAATTCCAGCACAAACCAGTTCATCAGAGAGGCGAGGATATATGACACTGGGACAAAGAATTACAGTGGATTTCCCTGCATGACCTTGTCTGTACCTGTCAAATTTAGCAACTACTGTAAGAGCAGTGAGTTTTAAAAATACTTTGCATTAGCTTCTGGCCATTTTTGCTGTTCATTTCATAAGCTGGTCTTGCACTTTGTATTGGAGAACATTTGGCAATTGAAAAAGTGGTTGGATCTTCTGTGGGTATATTGTGTTGTTAAACCTCAGGATCCTGATTTTGAGATAACTGTTTTATTACAGGATTATACACACGAATTCCACAAAACCAAAGCGAACTTCTTGGCAATAAGAGAAAGGGAGAATCTGTTGGGATCGGTACGGAAAGATATCGAGTAAGTTGTGTTGTTTGTTGCAGCAGTGGAATGGGACTGTCCTCGGAGGGAGAAGGTGGAAACCCTTCTGGAGGAGAATCCTTGGCATAGCTCGCTTGTCCATGCTCTGAGTAAAGCTAAAGAAGTTACTTGAATTCACAATTTTTATTAAGGTTCTGACAAGATTCTGTTTTGTTGGATTTTAGGTCATATAAAAGCGGGTCTGGCGTGAACAACAGAAGAACAGAACTGTTCCTGAAGGAGCACGAACACCTTCGAAAGTAGGTGTTGTTTCCTATTTACTTATGTTGGAGGTGCCTGACTTTCCTGGGGGGTGAAACATTCTGAATTTCCAGTGTGTGTGAAAGCTGTGTCCATTGGGACAATAACATGTGCACAAAGAATGCCTTGCACTGTGTATTCTGTGACAGTGCTGCTGCTTTTGCAGCTGGAGAGATATTTGTGGGTCATGCTGAGTGTGAAGTGTGGTAGGTAATAATCAAGGTATTTGTCAGTGATTTTGGCTTTAGGATCTTGTCAGTGACTTCTGTGTTGTCATCAGTGGGCTTTCACAAGTCACTTGTAACTCAGACCTCCTTCTCCCAAGGGAGTAGATGCCTTTACACACTGACTAGGATAAGGGTTAAGAAACAAAACTCCTATGATTTGGCTGTTTTTCCCTTTGTTTATTTGTCAGAGTCAGACAGAAGAGAACCTTTTTGCTTTTTGTCTCTACTGAACGTGTAGAAAAGGTGACAGAAGAGACTAATTCCAAAGTTACCTGTGCACTTAAATATTGCAAATTTGGTCTATTTTATTCACCCAGGTAACAAGCAAAATAGAAAGCACTTTATTCCTGTTGCAGAGAGGGCATTAGGTTGTGAGCAGCTGCTTTGGGTGTCCCCTGTGCAGCAAAAGCAGCAGAGCCAAGAGCAGAGCACTGCAGGGTTTGTGTTCTTTGGAGAGTCCAGAGGTAATTCTGATTTTCCTGCCTCTCTCCTTGCCTGTAGTGGTGCTAAACCTCAGTCTCACACGAGAGGGCAGGCTTGCATTTAGAAAAAAAACAAAATAAATAAAAAATTACCTGTGGCTTTCTCAAATGTGCTTTCCTATAGATAACTTAAACTTGTAGCCAGAACTGCACAAAAAGCTTTTACAGGAAATTTAAACAATTTTTTCCCCATTTTGGCTTAACACCACTTCATTGTTGGTTTTCTTTAATATTTTTAAGACTTAGAAATTAATTGATTTAAAGCTTGAATTTTGAGTTCTGTTAGGAGTTCTGTTAGGTTGAATTTGTTACTAAACATGCTTGGCCATGAAATAGAAAGTTTCCAGGAAAAAACCCCCAATATTAATATTCCAGAGGTGAATCTTACCTGAAGTGTTGTACTTTAAAGAATCAGTCTCAGTTAATCTGAGTAAACCTGATTCTGTCCAGATGCTGTGTTTGGGATTTTTTGTTTTGCTTTGTTATTTTTGTTGGAGAGGTGATAAATACTTTCAGACATTTGGCATTTTGTTAAAGAAGGCCACAAATTAAATATTTCTGGAATTGTAAAATACAACTTCTGAGAAACTGACTTTGCTCTGAGTGCACTATTTTGGAAAGTTTGCAACAATTAAGAGAGGAAAACTTAAACCATTTTGTAAATGTTGTCTGGCAGATGTCTTCAGAGTTTGAGCCCAACATTTGTTGAGGCATTGATTATTTTGATCTTTTAAACACACTAAACTCTCCAGTATGTTTTTAGGATTAAAATGCATGAAAATTAGAGTGAAATAAGGCAGTTTACAAACAGTTAAACCATCTTCTGGGTGATTATTTGAAAATATCAAGACTTTTAAAAAAACCCCTCTACCGTGACATTGAGAAAAAGAAAACAAGAAATAAGTGTGAGTTGGGGGTCTGTAGGAAACAGGGCCAAAACTAATCATGGAATACCACTGCAAGGTGGAGATAACTGTAAGGACTGTGAAGAAATCCAGTGTAGAAGCAGAAGACAACATTGGCAAGAAATCAAAGCTTGCAGGATGTTCAAAACTTTTGAATTGAGAATCAGTGAGCTCTGAAAGAGATAGTGGCAGAGGAAAATTATTAGAGAGGTTCAACATATTTGTCTTCAAAGAAAACAGTTAATGAGCTATTTGTGCCAAAAAAGCTGTAAAAGCTAGGAAAAGGTCCCAGGAAATCACCAGGAGCTGGCAGATTACACCAAACATGCTCCCAGGATAAACTGACAGGCTTTGTGTGAGTCATGATGCTGAATATTTGCAGTGCAGGAAACCCTGGTGCCAGACTAATTGACAGAACTACACAGGAATATATTTACGTTGTCACAAAGACACAACAGGAAGAATCCAAAACGTGTTTTCAGGGAAGTTAAACCAATGAAAAGAGCGTGAGAAATGGACGTGGCAGCACAAACTTGACAAGTGTGTTATTACCTGCTGCAGAAGAATGTAATCATGCCCCAGGAATGATGTATTCCTATCAGATATTGGAGTGTTCACCTAGTCTTGGCCCTGCTTAATTTATGCCATTAAGTATTTTGACCTGTTACATATTTATCCCATTATCTGTTGATGGAGGATGCTGAGCTGTTGCCCCAGTGCAGGGTCCTGGCCCTTTTCTTTATGCACAACCACGTGAGACAGGATAAATGGCCACTGGAATTTTCTCTTGGCTCTGTTTTCCCTGAGCGCTCTTAAAGAGCTGCTGGCAGCCCTGGGCGGGATTGTTCGTGGGGGCATCTCACTGGAAAGGAAGAGGAGGAGAGCCAGGAAGCCTTTTTTCTGGGATGGACTTTGGAGAGAAGCTGGATCTCTGCTTTTTACCTGAATCTGCCTTTTTTTATTTTTGTATCACATTTGAACATCATCTCTTCTGAAAGAAAACTGAAGGAGAATCTGTGTGTTAATGTTGTATATGTAGGTGAACCTAAAAAAGGGAGGGAAGTTAAAAATCTGTGAGTAAAAAATGATGAATAAAAGGACCCAACGTACATTAAGCACCAAGGGAATGACAACAGCTGAAGCTCTGTGCAAACCCTGGCTGTGCCTGTCTTTCCATTAAGCTGTGAGGATCCTGGATCCATTTGGAGTCCCTTTCCCAGGGTGGGGCTGGCTGCTGTGTCAGTGCTGCTGGCACGGTGTGTGCAGCACTTCCACATTGGGATCACGGTGCTACCGGGGCACAAAGGGCTCTGTGCTGCTGCATCCCACTTCTGGGAGGGTTAGAGAGCACATATTGTGTTCTTCTCTCTTTGAAAGCTTCACTGCTGCCTCAGTTTATTTTAGAAATCATCTGATTGTGAGTTTTATTGGGAAAGGAGGTTTGTCCAGAAATTCTGTTGCCTGTGGACAGGTCACTCTGTTTCCTACTTAAGTTCTATACAGGTAATTCAAGGAGAGCTTTTCCTGCCTCTGGAGAGACAAACAATAATGCCTAGATTTTTAAATAAAAACTTTAACCCCCCCTTAATTAAAATAAGGCTGGCAGATCTTGTTGAATATTGATGCCTTCTTAATATTTTTACTTAATACCTCAGACTTTTTGCCCTGTCAGATGCTTGAAGAAGTACTTCTTGGGTCTGTGCCATTCCCTGAAGTTGTTTAATCTTTTCTGTTTGTGTGCTTTTGGCCAGGGATGCAAACAAGTCATCCTTTTTCCTGTGATGCCGTTTTCCATCTAAAGGAAGCAATTTTGATGAATAGATGTAGCTTAGCATTTTAAAAACTGCTCTGAAAAGTGCTGCCTCAGAGGAAAGAATTCTGTCAACTTAGTGTCTGCCCTGAGAAATTCTGCAGTTATTGATGAGTTACAGTCTAAGTCAGCGAAGAGGGGACTAATGTGCTTGATTAAATTTGCAATATTGTGTGTGTATGCAAGTGAAAATTTCCCTTGTGTTGGTGCTTGGGTTGTTCTGTGAGTGGTATCAGGTGATACTGCTGAATTTGTGTTAAAATCGATGAAGGCTTCCAAAGTTTGGAGAGAAACTACAGATTGTATTACCTGTGGTGAATTCCTTGTAAAACTAGGTGAATACAGACCACTGAGTGGTCACCAGCATTTGCTGTGGTGGATTTATTCTGTCATTATAGGGCCACTCTGTGACTGTTGCTTTATTACTCAGCTCCAGCACTCAAAAATTTGTCATTTATCCCTTTCCAAAAGAAGTGGCTGGTGGGGAAGCAGGTGCAGGTATCATTAGCTGTGTTTTTAGTTGTTGTCAGGTGACTGCATGGTTCTTGTGGGTGTTGCTATGCAGCCTATGAATCTATCCAGTGAAAAAAAAAATTCATCTTAGCTGGAATACCATGTGTGAATGATGCAGGTAGACGGTATGAACCTGTGTTCAGACAGCCCTGTGTGTCTTAAAATGTTTAGCAGTGGGACAGAGAAGGCCACAGGAGGTGGGTAAGAAACTTTGAAGGAGGAGGAGAACAAACAAATCAGAGGGACGTGTTCTGCATGTGAAAGGGAAAAGAGGAATAAGGGAAGTGAGCAAAGGAACTAACGGGAATCCGCAGCAGTTGCGTAATGGTGTATTAATAATACATACCTGGGATGATTAGGGGAAATTAGTGTTTGTGCAGCTCTTCACGTGTGTGAAGTGCTCTGGAGTACTAAATATTTTTGTGACTTTGATTATGGCATTTCATTTTTCAATAGCAGGGCTGTTTGAAATTTCCTGTTGTTGTTTGGGCAGAAATGGGCACATTCAGTAGAGAATAATCACCGGGAAACTGCTCCCTAACTTTGTTGGTGATACAGGCCAGGTCCTAGTGGAGGGAGTGATTGACTGACAGTTTTTCCTCTAAAAATTGCCTTTGCTTACCAATTTTCACTTCAGCACTGATTTGCACAGAGAAATCAGCTTAATGAGATGCAGAGACACCTTACAGGGTTTTTGATTACAGGTGCATTGACCTTTTGGAAACAAGCTGCCAGTTTTCTACCTTAATTTAATTTCCTTTTCTTTTGTTATCCCTGCTCTCTGCTCTGCACACCCTGATTTCCACTCACTGTGCTGTTGCTGCTCAGGTTCCTGTGGATTTGAGTGAGACCTTCAGGATTGGATTGAAACCAGAGAACTGCTGTTGCCTCCCTTCCATCCCCTCCCTCACCTCCACTTGCAGGGGAGGACACACAGATGCCTGGGCAGTAACTGCTCCAGCTGACACACAGTTCACCACTGCATCTCCTTCATCTTCTCTTGGACAGAGAGACACTGTAGGAGAAACAGCTAATTCACCAATTCCTTTTTCATTCCCAAGG